ATCTTCAATCTCCAATCTCCAACGTCGTCATCTTAGGCCGGATTCAGTCAGATCTCCGATCTCCATCTCCAATAGCCAATCTCCAATCTCCAATCTCGATTCGGGGGCCCGGGGGAGGAGGGGGGCTCAAACCTTCAAGGAGATGCAATTTGGATTCATTCACACTGACCATCTCTCATCTCCAATCTCCAATCTTCTACTTGGCCACTGTCGCCGCCGGCAGCAATCTACGACCTCCATTTTCAATCTTCGATCTCACATCTGGGGCGGATGGCTGGGCGCTAGGATCTACAATCTGCATTCTCCATCTCCTCGACTTGAAGGACGCCGCGAGCCGCGCTACACACCGCCGGAATGAGAGGCAGCCCGGCGCCCTCGCCGATCTTGAGCACGGTGTCGACGAGCTTCAGACCCGTTCGGACCTTGTCGAGCGCTCGGCCCGCCGACGCGAGCCGCTCGACACCAGCCTCCATAAAGCTAGATCGGCGGGCACTCAGAACGGCGCGGGGCGCGGGGTGTGGTAAGCAGCAGACGCCAGTTCCCCCCGGGGGCACCGGTTAGGGGGGTTCGCGGAGCGAAAGATTAGTACTCGGTCACCTACCCACTCTCTTTACTGCGACAATGGTCTCTCTCTCCTCTCTCTCTCTCTCTCTCTCTCTCTCTCTCTCTCTCTCTCTCTCTCTCTCTTCTCTTCTCTCTCTCTCTCTCTCTCTCCCCCCCTCTCTCTCTCTCTCTCTCTCGCGTCTCTCTCTCTTGAGTGCCTTTTCGACCGCCGACGCGTTTCGACGCACCGACGCGCCGTGGCGCGCTCGCTCTCCAGCAATCAGCTGTAGCCTGTAGCTGTACTTCCTGCCGCCAGGAGTGCAGAGATTTCTCTCCCCCCGCGGGGCAGGAAGAGAAAGTTAAGAGGCCCAAGCCGAAAATCACACGCACTGACAATCGAGAACGGACAGACATACATTGATTGACTAGTCAGACTTGCAACGCGCGTTTTTTTCAGTCTCAGATCGGCGTTGCATCCTCTGTGTGCATCAGCTGTACTTGTACCGCTTGTACCTCGCCGCCCGCCCCTCCGCCGCGAGCCGCAGCAGCTCCGGCGGCACCTCCTGCTTTGCGTCGCGCAGCACCTGCACCTGTTCACAGCCAGACACGCGCCTGTGAAGAGACGCGGCCCACAGCGCCTAGAGTTGTGGCCGCCGCGCGGGTCGGCGCCAAGTCGTCGCACATGCGCGCGTCGGCCGGCGTGACCTGCAAAAAAAAAAAGAAAAATCGATTTGCGCCTCGGACGAATTGTGCTTCCTTTTTTCTCGCCCGGCGTGACCAGCGTGTAGGCGCGGCCGACCTCGCCGGCGCGGCCTGCCAAGAAAGAGAGAGAGATTGGTGAGATGAGACGCTGTCCACACCCCCGGTCGGCAACCCGCATGGGTTCGGGGGATCGTCCGGGTAAGGGCGTGCGAGCTGAGTGGGTGTGGGTGGGCGGTGCGGGGCAGGAGTGGGCAATGCTCGCCGGTGCGTCCGATGCGGTGGACGTACGCCTCGGACGTCTCCGGGCAGTCGACGTTGATCACCGCGGCGACGCCTAAAAAAGAAATCGAGGACGCGTCTCCGCGGTGGTGTATACGCTAGCTCAGAGACGGCTTTTGACGTCGCGATGCGGAGATGTGGCTGCGTGCAGCGCAAACCAAGAATGGCCGACACTGTATCTCGAAATATCTCGGCCTTCTCTCGCCTTTGACGTCGAGGCCGCGCTGCGCCACATCCGTCGCAACGAGCAGCGGGTGCTCCGCCGAGCGGAACTGCTGCAGCACCCAGTCGCGCTCCTCCTGCGGCTTGTCGCCTGTTTACTAATCATTAAATATTAATTCATTTTAATTGCAGGACCCAATCGCGCGCTCCTCCTGTGAGTTTCGCCTGTTCGTTAACTAATTAATGAATGTTAACTACTTAATTAAGTCGCGCCCCTCCTGCGGCTCGTCGCCTGTGAATGGGTACTCATTGCTTCAACACTGGCGCGTAATCATCCCCTCCTCCCTGCGGCTTGTCGCCTGTGGATTGGCACCTCACTAGTCAGCACTCAGCCATTCCTCCTCCATCCCCATCCTCTTCCTACGGCGTGTCGCCGTGCAGCGCGAGAGCCGGCCACCCGTCGAGCCTGGGGGAGATACGGGGAGATATGGGGAGATACGGGGAGATATGAGGGGAGGAGGCCATCATCTATCGAGCCCCAGCTCTCCCCATATCTCCCCATATCTCCCCATATCTCGAGCCTCAGCTCCATGGTCAGATGTATCTCCCCATATCTCCCCATATCTCCCCATATCTCCCCATATCTCGAGCCTCAGCTCCATGGTCAGCTGCATCTCCCCATATCTCCCCATATCTCCCCATATCTCCCCATATCTCGAGCCTCAGCTCCTTGGTCAGCTCGTCGCAGCGCCGCTTGGACGACGTGAAGAGCAGCAGGCGCGAGCCATCCACAACCTTAATTAAGTAATTAACATTAAGTAATTAATTAATTAATTAAGAGCAGCAGGCGCGAGCCATCCACAACCTCCTCGAGGAGCGTGAGCAGCGCCTCCACACAAACGGTGACGACTCATAACTAACCACTACTACTGTGTGTCATCCTCCTCGAGCAGCGTCAGCAGCGCCTCCATCTTGCCCGCGTCGTCGCAGAGCAGCACGCGCTGCTCGATGGAGGTGTTGGCGCGGCCTAAACTCGCTCTCACTAGGTCTTCATCAATGGCATCGACCAGCAAGCTGCTCGAGGGAGAGGCGGGCGGCCTAATGAACACTCGACCATTCACACCACAACGTGTCGACGGATGGTCGATGGGCAGGGCGGCGCGGCCTATTGACAGCCGCAATTCATCAGAAATGCCCACTGCCAACAGCTGCTCGACGGACAGAGTGGCGCGGCCGGAGGTGGCGAGTGCTCCACCGACCTGCGGGGGAGATACGGCGAGATATGGGGGAGACATGGGGGAGATATGGCGAGATATGCGGGAGATATGACCTCCACGATGACGTGCGACGGCGCGATGAGCCGCCCCGCCAGCGTCTGCACCTCGGCCGGCCACCTAAGGAGGAGAAACGGCCGTCCTTGGTCGCTGAGGAGAGGACCTTCGTCAGCACCTCGGCTGGCCACGTCGCGGAGAAGAGCAAGCTCTGCCTGTCGTGCCGCATGTGGCCCAGGATCGCAGAGATCTGAGGCTCGAAGCCTAGTCTCCAGGAGAGACGAGATGCGTCGAGATTTGGCCGAGATCTCGGAGATCGCGGGAGATCTGAGGCTCGAAGCCTAGTCTCCAAGAGAGACGAGATGCGTCGAGATTTGGCCGAGATCTCGGAGATCGCGGGAGATCTGAGGCTCGAAGCCTAGTCTCCAAGAGAGACGAGATGCGTCGAGATTTGGCCGAGATCTCGGAGATCGCGGGAGATCTGAGGCTCGAAGCCGAGGTCGAGCATCCGATCCGCCTGTTAATTAACGACTGATTAACCAATGTCATTTAGTTAATTAGCCGAGGTCGAGCATCCGATCCGCCTGTTAATTAACGACTGATTAACCAATGTCATGTAGTTAATTTGCCGAGGTCGAGCATCCGATCCGCCTGTTCATTAACGACTGATTAACTAATGCCATGTAGTTAATTTGCCGAGGTCGAGCATCCGATCCGCCTGTTAATTAACGACTGATTAACTAATGCCATTTAGTTAATTAGCCGGTCGAGCATCCGATCCGCCTGTTAATTAACTGCTGATTAACTAATGTCATTTAGTTAATTTGCCGAGGTCGAGCATCCGATCCGCCTGTTAATTAACTGCTGATTAACTAATGCCATTTAGTTAATTAGCCGAGGTCGAGCATCCGATCCGCCTGTTAATTAACTACTGATTAACTAATGTCATTTAGTTAATTAGCCGAGGTCGAGCATCCGATCCGCCTGTTAATTAACGACTGATTAACTAATGTCATTTAGTTAATTCGCCGAGGTCGAGCATCCGATCCGCCTGTTAATTAACTACTGATTAACTAATGCCATTTAGTTAATTAGCCGAGGTCGAGCATCCGATCCGCCTGTTAACTAACTACTGATTAACTAATGCCATTTAGTTAATTAGCCGAGGTCGAGCATCCGATCCGCCTGTTAATTAACTACTGATTAACTAATGCCATTTAGTTAATTAGCCGAGGTCGAGCGTCCGATCCGCCTCGTCGAGCGCTAGCAAGGCGCAGCGAGTCAGCTCCGTCTTCTTCTTGGAGAGCAGCTCATTCAGCCGGCCTGTGGGAGATATGGGGAGATATGGGGAGATATGGGGAGAGCAGCTCATTCAGCCGGCCTGTGGGAGATATGGGGAGATACGGGGAGATGCGGGGAGAGCAGCTCGTTCAGCCGGCCTGTGGGAGATATGGGGAGATATGGGGAGATACGGGGAGAGCAGCTCAATTCAGCCGGCCCGGGGGAGATATGGGGAGATATGGGGAGATACGGGGAGATACGGGGAGAGCAGCTCGTTCAGCCGGCCTGGCGTGGCCACGAGGAGCTCCGGCGCCTGCGGGAGATACGGGGAGATATGTGGAGATATGTGGAGATACGAGGAGCTCCGGCGCCTTGCGCAAGGGAGAGAGTCAGAGAGTCAGATCACGAGGCGCTACACGGTGGAGCAGCCTCGCAACAGAGAGTCAGAGCATCAGAGTAGTCTCGACTGCAACACAAGCTCCGGCGCCTTGCGCAGCAGCGCCACCTGCTCCGCCTTCGGCACGCCGCCGTAGACTGCGGCGGTGCGGACGCCGCACGGAGCGCCGAAGCGGGCGGCCTGAGGGTCGGCAACGGGCAGAGGCGGATCAGAGCAGAGACGCTTCCACTTCGCTTGGGCATCTCTGGGCGCGGTTGCAGCTCGGCTCCCTACCTCGGCTGTCCCTCTCGGCTGTCCCTCTCGGCTGTCTCTCGGTTACTCTACTCTCGGCTGGATCTCGGCTGTCTCTCCGCTGTCTCTCCGCTGTCTCTCGGCTATCTCTCGCCTCGCTCTCGATCTGGCAGGCGAGCTCGCGTGTCGGGGCGAGAACGAGGCAGAGCGGGCCCTCCCCCTCCTTGAGCGGCGGCTGTGCGCTTGCGTGCACGAGGGCGGGGAGGAGGTAGGCGAGCGTCTTGCCGGAGCCCGTCTCCGCCAGGCCGACCACATCCCGCCCGCTCATGGCGATCGGCCAGGCCTGGCGCTGGATAGGCGTGGGCGAGTCGTAGCCGGCGGCGCGCAGCGTGCCGAGCACGTGCTCAGGCAGCGACGCCTGCACAAAGCTGCCGACCGGCTTCGGCACGTCCTCGCCGTGGACGACGACGCCGAGCCGCTTCCGCTCGGCCTCCACCTGCTGCTCCGTCAGCGCTGCGACGGCAGGGTGCTCGAGGTAGTAGTCGCGAGTCACGAAGGGCAGCGGCGGCTGCTGCGTTGTGTCGCTCGACGGCCCGGCGGCGGCATGGAGCGCGGAGCTCTTGCCGAGGCGCCAAGCCATCTAGGAGAGAGGACCGGACAACAGGCCGCCAAAGGGCTCCGCACAGGGGAGGGGCGGGACGAAAAAAAATTCTACGTTGCCGAATCAGCATGTCTCTCATCGTCGTCTCTCTGCTCCTCGCTCGGCCGGGCGGCGACTCGGGTGGTGCAGAGGCGCCGCCGCTGCGCGTGCGCGCGCACGAGGCGGCGCTGGAGCACGCCTGCTGTCGCCGCCACGGCCCGACGCCCGGGGCCAGACGTCGAGTCGGACAAACTTTTGGCGAGAGCAGACCGAGCATCTTCACCGAGCATCATCGGATCGACCCGCTCTCCTGCGACGAGCCGCGGGAGGGAGGCCCGTATGATCCGGCCGGAGCGGCGGCGCGTGGCGCACACATGCCCTGCTCGCCCGCGGCCGCTGAGGCACACCCGGCGAGAGCCAGCTTTGCCCCCTCGGCGTCGTTTGCGAGGCTCACCTCGCCGCCGTGCTGCGGGGGCGGCGGTTGGCTTGTGAGGTGCGCGTGGCCGCGCGTGGCGCGGCTGGCCCCTGCCCACGCCCTCATATTTTGTGCTGGCTCGCGCACGCGCCGCGGAAGCTCGACGACGAGCGACTGCATTGGCGGGCTCCGTTGTGAAAGGCAGCGGCTCTGCGTGGTCAAAGGCGGCGCTTGCCATCAGCCGCCGTGCACAGATGTCCCAAACTCTTTCATGCTTTGGGTAGGACACAGGCCTAACTACTCGGGGGACACACGATTCCCGAAAGGGTTGTGTCCCCCTTTTTTCTTTAGACATTTTAAAAAGCCTTTTTTCCCCATATCCCCCAGCCGGCCCACCCCCTTTAGGCGCACCGGTCCCCACGGCGATTTTGACCATTGCCCACCTCTTTACGGACCCCCCCTCGTCCTGCTTCATCACCAGGGCCTCCCCCTCCCAAACCGCCCTTCCCCCCGCAAGCCCCCCTCCCCGCTGCCCCCCCCCGGGCCGCCCCCCCCACCGTCGCCCCCCCCCCTGCCGCCCCCCCCCCTGCCGCTTCCCTCTCCACCGACCCCCGTCCCGCCGGCCCCCTCTCCATCGCCCCCATCCCCACCGCCCCCTCCTCTACCGCTCTCCCCCCCGCCGGCCCCCTCGCCGCCGCCTTCCCCCCTCACGCGCGGCTACCCACCTACCAACACGCGCTGACCAACGGCAAGCCGTTCGCTTCGATCCTGGCGGGGTTGCGCAAGCTTCACGAATCGCTCGAGCCCTCGAGGAAGGCGCCAGTCATGACTTCGACAGGCGACTCCGAGGACTCGGCGTTGGGCAAGTTCGACCGCGCGCCGGCTGGCCTTCCGGACAACTCACTCCGAGAGGCCATCCACAGCGCCCCCTTCCAGGACGCGGTCCGCAAGATTGGCAGCATCGACCTCTCCACCCCGACTGGCCCGCTGGAGGTTATCAAGGAGGTGTTCCTGAGCGGTTCAATGATCCTGCAGCGCTACGTGATCTTCCAGGAGGCCGCGCTTGCCACCAAGCACGAGATCTTCGGCGTGATCCAAGTGCTGCGGATCATGGCCTACGCCCGCCTGCTCGGCGGCGACGAGATGGGCGTGGCGCGCGGCGCCTGCGCCGTTCGCGACGCGCTCGCGGGCCTCACGACCGACCACGTCAAGGCGGCGGTTCGCGCCCTCGCTTGCTACGTGCGCGCAGGTGGGAACGTGGAGCTGGTTGCGGAGTCGGGGGACACCCGCAGCGCCATGCTCCTGGCGTCGGCCGTGCGAGCCGCAGCGGGCGACCGCGACCTGCCCGCGCTCTCTCTGGGGGAGGCGGCGGACGCTATGAGGCGGGCGAGGATACGCCTGCCGGCCAGAGCGCGAGAACTCGAGGACGCGCGTCACAAGCCGGACTTCACTATACCGCAGACAAAGGAGGTCCTCAACACCTCTCGCTCTCTCTCCCCTGCACGCAGAAGGGCATACAACCTCGGCGGTACGCCTTGTTACATGCCTGTGAAGTGTGTGCAGTCTCTGTGCGGCTGGCCTCCCGCCCTGCAAACAAACCCCAATCCTATGACGCGCTTTGACGAATAGAGATCTTAAACGGGTATCATAAGAAGAGAGAGGGAGCGAAAAGACATTTCTCCCCTATTACTTTGTGCGTTTCTCTCGATACCAGGTCTAGGTCGAACTGGTTTCTTTTTTTCATTTTCTTCATTCCATACGATTCTCTCGATGCTGTGTATGCGGAGCGCGCTTGGCGCAAACGCGCCGCGAAACTTGAAATAGAGCTACATACCCTGGAGAGAGAGAGAGAAAAGTACACTAAAAAATGTACAACCCATAAAAAATCGAAGGCTAAGCTCAAAAAAATCCGGTAGATGTAGTAAATGCAACGCAACGACGGCCGTCCCATACGAGCTGGCACCAATCCTCGCTACCCAACGCGGCCAAAGTATATCCACCTCGAGAACCTCGAGAGCTGGCAAACTCGCCCCCGGGCGATGGCGGGCTGCGCTCGCTTCAGAGCCCGACGGCTGACGAGCTCTACTTGGTGCTCGGCCACGAAATGTGCACAGCCGGCCAACGAGCTGCGCGCGATGACAAAGGCAGCGCAGGCGGAGGTGAAAGCGCCCCTCACTTTCGCGGAGCGGCTCGGCATCTCGCAGGTCATGCATCAGAATCCGGAGCTGGCTCGGTCCTTCCTCCGAGAAGCCTCCGTTCTCCGAGATCCGTGCGGAACAGCCGTTTGGAATGGAGAAGGAGCTGCGCCGAGCCTTACGGACAGCGAGAAAGCAAAGGCGGCGGCGATTGCGGCGGCGCAGGGGCGCGGCAAGACGGCTTTCTTTGCGTACCTGTCGAGCGACTTCAAAAACAGCGTGCTGCGCCTCTCGGGCGCAGAGGGAGCTGAGGCGGTGGCGAGCGCGGGGAGGGGCCGCACGAGCTTCTTCGCAGCGCTTCCGGGCACCGTCAAGTACGATGCGCTCCAGCGGTGGCAGGAGCAGCAGGCCCGTGCTACAGGCGACGGGGAGGGGGAGGGCTCGCTGGCCGCCCCTGCGCGAGGGGAGCTGGCGAAGCTCTCTGTCTCGGTGGGAGTGCCGATGATCGGCTTCGGCTTCGCGGACAATTTCCTGATGATCACCTTTGGCGAGACCATCGACTCGCACTTCTCGCAATACGTGAGCACGATGGCAGCCGCCGGCCTAGGCAACCTGATGAGCAATCTCGTGGGTCTGCGGCTCGCCGACGCCATTGAGCAGGCCAGCGAGAGGATGGGCCTGCCTACGCCGCGGCTGTCAGCCGCGCAACGAGCAACCACGGCGGCACGCATCGCCTCCTTTGGGGGGCTGTCGGCAGGCGTCACGATTGGCTGCTTGCTCGGGATGTCGCCGCTGCTCTTCGTTACGTGAGCTCAAGTGCCAGAGCGCGGTAGTCGGTAGGGACTGCGACTACAGCTGAGAGCTGGAGCCGGAGAAGTGCGGCCTCTGGTAGATCCTCAGGAGGTTGCGGGTCAAGCGATGTATTGCTTGGCCCGTCTCTTGCCGAAGGTAAGGTACGGTACGGTAAATTGCTCCACACACAGAAGTGGTGAGATTAAGGTTGCTGTATTTCTTCTTTTCGGCGAGCACTACGGTGTGCTCGCGGATTCGACTGTCCCCCCGATCGTGCCCACCTCTATGAGGACGACGGCGCCTTCTAAAGGTCCGTCGCCGGCTGTGCCTCTTTGGGTACCTGTGTCGATGTACGTACTTGGAGCACTTGGAGTGCAGTCATCAACCTCACATCCAGGGCCGGGGAGCTGAGAAGCGCACCCAGCGAGCCGGATGATCGGCATCGGGCTACGGGCTAGAGAGCCCTGACCCCTAGCTAGGGGGGGTGCGCATTCACAGGGCAAGGGCCTTAAAGTAAACACAGTTCTCCGAGAGGGCTCCGTGTACCGGGTTTCCCCTTAACTGCTACGTTGAATTCTTCTTTTTGCGATGGCGCCGTCTTGGTCGCGCGGTCCGTTCGAGGGTTTTACTGGGTCGTGTAACCGCGTCCGCGCGGTCAGTTCTCACTTCTCGCCATCCTCTGGCAGCCATGTGCATCCCACTCCGAGCGATGGTCGTGGCGCTCGTGCTGCTAGCTCTGACGCTCAACTTCTACGGCCACGGCCTCGCGGCATCAGCAAAGCGAGCCGCTGCCGTCGACTCGAGGCTGAGGCTGCTGCAAGCCCAGCCGCAGCAACTAGGAGCCAAGCGCGCACTCGTCGTGGCTTCCAACCTCTCCTCCTCCCCTCCGTTGGAAGTGGTGCTTTCTGTGAGGCCGCCGGAGCTGCTTCGGTGCGACCCGTCCGTCAGCCCTGCTAGTCGGTGCAGCGCTCCGGGCGGGAATCGAGGCGCCGCTGCGGCAGGAGTGTGCGAGGACACCGATGCGCGGTACGTCGAGTGGTCCGGATGGGTGGGACATGTCCGAGACACGTCCACGACCATGTCCGAGGGATGTCACTAGGTGCGGCGAGTGGGCATCGCGGCGGCCCACCTCCGAGTGCGAGAGCAGTCACAGCTGCATGCACCGGTCCTTGGCAGGAACGGTCCACAGGCAGACAATAATGATAGGTGCCATCCCGGGCATCACGCGCCCTTGCGTGATGTCTCGGATTGATTGCAAGGAGCTGATCATAGGTGCGAGAGCAACCCAGGCTTCATGCACCGCGCGTGCCGCCACAGCTGCCGCATGTGCGGCGGCAGCGGCGGCGACGGGCTGCGCCGCTTCAACACCTCGAGCTTCGCCGTCGGCCTCGAGCCTCGCGGCACGATCGGGCTGCTCCGCCCGCACGCGATCGGAGGCGACTTTAGCTACACGATGCCGCCGCTCAAGGGCGGAAAGGCGAGTGGTCAGCATCGGCTCGGCGACCTCACGATCCGGCTAGCCCGCCCGTCTGCTCCCTCTGCCACCGGCTCTGGCCAAGCTGACGGCTGCAAGGGCGCCTCCGACTCTCTGGTGTTGCCGCCAAATTGCAGGCAGGACGCATCTCGACGTGTCCATCACATACTCTCTAGGCGCTTGCCGACGCGGACGGCCGCTGCGGCGAGGGATGGACATGTCTGCGACCCGTCCATGACTCCTTCAGGCGCCTCCGACGCGGACGGCCGCTGCGGCGAGGGATGGACATGTCTGCGACCCGTCCATGACTCCTTCAGGCGCCTCCGACGCGGACGGCCGCTGCGGCGAGGGATGGACATGTCTGCGACCCGTCCATGACTCCTTCAGGCGCCTCCGACGCGGACGGCCGCTGCGGCGAGGGATGGACATGTCTGCGACCCGTCCATGACTCCTTCAGGCGCCTCCGACGCGGACGGCCGCTGCGGCGAGGGATGGACATGTCTGCGACCCGTCCATGACTCCTTCAGGCGCCTCCGACGCGGACGGCCGCTGCGGCGAGGGATGGACATGTCTGCGACCCGTCCATGACTCCTTCAGGCGCCTCCGACGCGGACGGCCGCTGCGGCGAGGGATGGACATGTCTGCGACCCGTCCATGACTCCTTCAGGCGCCTCCGACGCGGACGGCCGCTGCGGCGAGGGATGGACATGTCTGCGACCCGTCCATGACTCCTTCAGGCGCCTCCGACGCGGACGGCCGCTGCGGCGAGGGATGGACATGTCTGCGACCCGTCCATGACTCCTTCAGGCGCCTCCGACGCGGACGGCCGCTGCGGCGAGGGATGGACATGTCTGCGACCCGTCCATGACTCCTTCAGGCGCCTCCGACGCGGACGGCCGCTGCGGCGAGGGATGGACATGTCTGCGACCCGTCCATGACTCCTTCAGGCGCCTCCGACGCGGACGGCCGCTGCGGCGAGGGATGGACATGTCTGCGACCCGTCCATGACTCCTTCAGGCGCCTCCGACGCGGACGGCCGCTGCGGCGAGGGATGGACATGTCTGCGACCCGTCCATGGCTCCTTCAGGCGCCTCCGACTCGGACGGCCGCTGCGGCGGGTGGGCCGAGGTGGGCGAGTGTGTCGAGAACCAGGGCTACATGCTCCGCGCGTGCCGCCGCAGTTGCTTGTGCGCCGAAGGCGGCGGCCGCGCCCCGCAGCTGATTGGCTGCACCAGCGTCGGCGTCGGAGCTGGCGCCGGACCCCTCGCCTTGTAGAGAAGAGTGGCCAACACAGCATTGCGTGGCTGCGCCGGCGTGGGCAGCGAACCTGTGGAGGGAGAAGCGAGGGAAAAGCACGCGAGTCGCCCACCCCTCACCGCCTCAGATGCCGGGGCTGCGTCAGATACAGTGAGGTGTGCCCTGACAGGCGCCGGACCCCTCGCCGCCGAATCAGCACAGTCATGGCGCGGCCGCACGCGCATCGGCCTGCGCGGGCGGTTCTCAGCCGCCGACGCCGAGTGCCGCGCCCTCGGCGGCGGCGACACGCTGAGCGGCAAGGGCGGTGGCGGCGGTCGCCGCCAGGCCCTAGGGGTGGAGCGAGAGCTTGGGGAGGACAGCAGAGGCGCGCTGCTGCTGCTGTGGCGCCTGGCCAACGGGAGCAGAGGCCAAGGACGGTGCTTCCTCTCTCTACCTAATGCCTTTCCTTTTCTAGGCGCCTTACCAACGAGGGCGGCGCGCCGATCGAGGTGGCCGATCTTGGCGTCTCGATGCCCTTCAACCAGTTCTTCGCGGACAAGGACTTGCGCGGTGGTACCTCCGGGCTGTGAGCAGCGCCTCTTCACAGTGGCCTGCGGTGAACAGGACCTGCCGGACGTGGCGGCCAAGTGTGTCTTTGTCGAGCCCGCGCTGCTAGCAGGAGGTGGGTACGTCCAGGTCACACGCGCCACAGGCGCCGGCTGCCGCCTTGCTGCTGCCTTTGCCGCTTCCCGTGAAGAGGCGCCGTTCACACCCCATGCGCTGTGATCAGGCGCCGGCCCCGTCCTGCTGCTGCTGCCTTCGACGGGCAGCGAGTTCGAGGCGAGGCGCCCCCTCCGCTCCGAAGACAGCTGTGAACGGCGTCTCTTCACACCGCCAGCTATGAACAGGCGTGGCGCCCTCTCCGCTCCGAAGACGCGGTGCGCGGCGAGACGATGTACGAAAACACGCACCAGCTGATGCTGCACAGCCGCGGCTTTGGGCTCGGCGAGCGGGACAAGAGGTGTGGCGGGGGAGAGGCGGTGCGGCAGTGCTCCACGCGCGCGCGTGTCAGCAGGCGAGTGGAAGGAGGCGGCGGCGTGGGTGGAGCCGACTAGCGCAGTCCTCACTCCTGGGCAGTCGCGCACGTGCGGCATATGCGGATGGTCGTCGCCCCGCGGTGCGAACGGCGTCTCTTCACAGCGCGTCGCTGTGAACAGGTACGGCGTGCGGATGGTCGTCGCCCCGCGGTGTGAACGGCGTCTCTTCACAGCGCGTCGCTGTGAACAGGTACGGCGTGCGGATGGTCGTCGCCCCGCGGTGTGAACGGCGTCTCTTCACAGCGCGTCGCTGTGAACAGGTACGGCGTGCGGATGGTCGTCGCCCCGCGGTGCGAACGGCGTCTCTTCACAGCGCGTCGCTGTGAACAGGTACGGCGTGCGGATGGTCGTCGCCCCGCGGTGTGAACGGCGTCTCTTCACAGCGCGTCGCTGTGAACAGGTACGGCGTGCGGATGGTCGTCGCCCCGCGGTGTGAACGGCGTCTCTTCACAGCGCGTCGCTGTGAACAGGTACGGCGTGCGGATGGTCGTCGCCCCGCGGTGTGAACGGCGTCTCTTCACAGCGCGTCGCTGTGAACAGGTGCGGCGTGCGGATGGTCGTCGCCCCGCGGTGTGAACGGCGTCTCTTCACAGCGCGTCGCTGTGAACAGGTACGGCGTGCGGATGGTCGTCGCCCCGCGGTGTGAACGGCGTCTCTTCACAGCGCGTCGCTGTGAACAGGTACGGCGTGCGGATGGTCGTCGCCCCGCGGTGTGAACGGCGTCTCTTCACAGCGCGTCGCTGTGAACAGGTGCGGCGTGCGGATGGTCGTCGCCCCGCGGTGTGAACGGCGTCTCTTCACAGCGCGTCGCTGTGAACAGGTACGGCGTGCGGATGGTCGTCGCCCCGCGGTGTGAACGGCGTCTCTTCACAGCGCGTCGCTGTGAACAGGTGCGGCGTGCGGATGGTCGTCGCCCCGCGGTGTGAACGGCGTCTCTTCACAGCGCGTCGCTGTGAACAGGTACGGCGTGCGGATGGTCGTCGCCCCGCGGTGTGAACGGCGTCTCTTCACAGCGCGTCGCTGTGAACAGGCGCGGCGTGCGGATGGTCGTCGCCCCGCGGTGTGAACGGCGTCTCTTCACAGCGCGTCGCTGTGAACAGGTACGGCGTGCGGATGGTCGTCGCCCCGCGGTGTGAACGGCGTCTCTTCACAGCGCGTCACTGTGAACAGGTACGGCGTGCGGATGGTCGTCGCCCCGCGGTGTGAACGGCGTCTCTTCACAGCGCGTCGCTGTGAACAGGTACGGCGTGCGGATGGTCGTCGCCCCGCGGTGTGAACGGCGTCTCTTCACAGCGCGTCGCTGTGAACAGGTACGGCGTGCGGATGGTCGCCGCCCCGCGGTGTGAACGGCGTCTCTTCATAGCGCGTCGCTGTGAACAGGTACGGCGTGCGGATGGTCGTCGCCCCGCGGTGTGAACGGCGTCTCTTCACAGCGCGTCGCTGTGAACAGGTACGGCGTGCAGATGGTCGTCGCCCCGCGGTGTGAACGGCGTCTCTTCACAGCGCGTCGCTGTGAACAGGTACGGCGTGCGGATGGTCGTCGCTCCGTCCGTGCGTGCGGTCGAGGCGACGCTGCTAGCGCTCTTTCCTGTGGGAGAGAGGCCGTGAAGAGCAGCCGTTCACAGCTCGAGGTGTGGGACCAGGCGACGCTGCTAGCGCACGGCATGCCCGTGTTGGTGCGCGGGTCCGGGTCTCTCTCCACCTTGTTTACTCTGCGGCGTCTCTCCACACCTCTGCGCTGTGAACAGGTGCTGCACCCAGGGCCGGTCCTTCCCCTGGACCACACCAACGCCACCCTGCTGCTGCGGCTGCCCGGCAGAGGCGGCGAGGGAGGAGGCGAGGGAGGAGGCGAGGGCGGCGTTGGCGGCGAGGGAGCCGGCGGCGAGGCCTTTCCACTTCCGCTTCCTCCCGCGGTCACGCCGGCTGCTGCTCTGGACGTGGTGCCGCTCCCTCTCATTAGCAACTACAGATTAGTCAATGACAGGTCGCGCCGGCTGCTGCTCTGGACGTGGTGCCGCTCCCTCTCATTAGCAACTGCATATTAGTCAATGACAGGTCGCGCCGGCTGCTGCTCTGGACGTGGTGCCGCTCCCTCTCATTAGCAACTGCATATTAGTCAATGACAGGTCACGCCGGCTGCTGCTCTGGACGTGGTGCCGCTCCCTCTCATTAGCAACTACAGATTAGTCGATGACAGGTCACGCCGGCTGCTGCTCTGGACGTGGTGCCGCTCCCTCTCATTAGCAACTGCATATTAGTCAATGACAGGTCACGCCGGCTGCTGCTCTGGACGTGGTGCCGCTCCCTCTCATTAGCAACTACAGATTAGTCGATGACAGGTCACGCCGGCTGCTGCTCTGGACGTGGTGCCGCTCCCTCTCATTAGCAACTGCATATTAGTCAATGACAGGTCACGCCGGCTGCTGCTCTGGACGTGGTGCCGCTCCCTCTCATTAGCAACTACAGATTAGTCGATGACAGGTCACGCCGGCTGCTGCTCTGGACGTGGTGCCGCTCCCTCTCATTAGCAACTACAGATTAGTCGATGACAGGTCACGCCGGCTGCTGCTCTGGACGTGGTGCCGCTCCCTCTCATTAGCAACTACAGATTAGTCAATGACAGGTCACGCCGGCTGCTGCTCTGGACGTGGTGCCGCTCCCTCTCATTAGCAACTACAGATTAGTCAATGACAGGTCGCGCCGGCTGCTGCTCTGGACGTGGTGCCGCTCCCTCTCATTAGCAACTGCATATTAGTCAATGACAGGTCACGCCGGCTGCTGCTCTGGACGTGGTGCCGCTCCCTCTCATTAGCAACTACAGATTAGTCAATGACAGGTCACGCCGGCTGCTGCTCTGGACGTGGTGCCGCTCCCTCTCATTAGCAACTACAGATTAGTCGATGACAGGTCACGCCGGCTGCTGCTCTGGACGTGGTGCCGCTCCCTCTCATTAGCAACTACAGATTAGTCGATGACAGGTCACGCCGGCTGCTGCTCTGGACGTGGTGCCGCTCCCTCTCTTGAGCAACTACAGATTAGTCAATGACAGGTCACGCCGGCTGCTGCTCTGGACGTGGTGCCGCTCCCTCTCATTAGCAACCCAAATTTTGTTGATCCCAGGCCCCCCCGGTTGCTTTTCTGAAGGGGGCGCCCCCCCCTCTCTGGAACAACTCCAATTTAATCATTGACGGGCCCCCCGGGCTGCTTCTCTGGACGGGGGCCCCCCCCCTTTCATTGGCACCCACAGATTATTCAATGCCAGGTCCCCCCGGTTGCTCCTCTGGAGGGGGTTTCGTTTGGCCTGTCCCCGGCCGCTCGCACCGGCCGGGTCACAAGGTATACCCCTTTAAACCCCCCCCCCCCCCCCCCCCCGCCGACTCCCCCTCCCCCCGTCCTCCTTCTCCCTCTCCCTCCCGCCCCTCGCCCACCCCTCGCCCTCCCTCCCTCCCTCTGCCCCAATAACAAAAAGGTACGCCCTCCTGCCTCGCCACGCTGCAGAGGACGGCCGCGTGTCGCTGCGGCTGCACTGGCCCGGCTCTGCCTCCACGGGCGCACCGCCGCTGCGTGCGAACCTTCTCGGAACCTTCTCGGAGCGTTCTCGGAGCCGACCCGTAGGCGCGCCGCCGCTGCGCATCTGCGTGAGCTTGTGCGCCTCTCGGCCTCTCGAGCGTAAATCCGCTGTGAACGGCGTCTGTTCACATCAAATGCATCGTGGACAGGTACGTCTCTCGGCCCGCGCGCGAGCTGGTGAAGAGTTTCGGCCGTCACGCGGCGACGGAGGCGTGGCTACCCAAGGGCGATCCAGACCCGTGGCACCGCGATGCCGCCCTTCCGTTGTCTGGGACCAGCTGTGAACGGCGTCTACTCAAAACATCCCACCTGCGAACAGGCACCGCGACGCCGCCTTCCTCGGCTGGGACCAGAGGACAACGGCGGCGGGCGGCGGGCCGGCGGCGGGCGGCGGCGGCGGGCGGCGGCTGCTCGATGACCACCGCATCTTTGTGGGTGGGCTGTCGGACGAGGCGGGCCTAGCCACGCCCCTCGCGCTGGCAGTCAAGCAGCTGGGCTCGCCCTCCGACAACGGGATCGAATGAAGATTCGGAGCACGCGCGAATTCACACTGGGCGATTATTGAGTAGGCTCGCAAGACGAAGACGAGATCTCGTGGTAGCAGTTACCACGCGCCAATCACCACGGAGTGGTTGTTGGGTAGGCTCGCCCTCGGACGACGAGATCGAGCGGCTCGAGGAGTTTGTCGACGAGTCGCTCTACCAAGGCAGCTCCGCCAGAGTCCGCGAGAGGACCAGATGTTCGCGAGATCTCGCGAGATCAGCGGAGATCCGCCGAGGTTAGGCAACTCGACCGACCGGCGCCGATTCCTGCAGTCGTCGGTTGACCACGCCGTCCGGCTGTCGATGACCTTTTGGCCAGACGAGATGCAGAGCGAGCCAGCAGCCACGATCAATGATTGACAGTTAGTGACTCATCTCACAGGTCAGACGAGATGCAGCGCCAAGGCAGCTCGCAGGGCCGCGCTGCCGCCGCCGCAGCGCCGCTGCTGGCGCAGACGTGTCGCCGCTGCTGGCCGGACCGTTGCCTGTGGGGCGAGTGCCGCCATCACTAATTAATCAACAGTAATTAACTACTGGTGAACCGTAGGACCGCTGCCCGTGGAACGAGTGCTGCTATCGCTACGTAGTTACTACTACCCTTCATCGTTATTGCTCGTAGGACCGCTGCCCGTGGAACGAGTGCTGGTCGGAGCAGCACTCGCTCGAGTCATGGCGCGCGTACTGCGGGTGACTGTACGCCAGAGGTGCAGACAGCGTCTTCACAGCGGTGCGTGTGTGAACAGGCGCGCGTACAACTACCCGCACGTGACCGCCGTCTACTGGTCCCTCTACCGCCTCGGCCGCCGCTTCCGGCCCGCCCGGGTGAGGCGGCACTCGACCTCGCTTAGACCTCGGCGAATCTCGGCAAATCTCGGTAAGACCGGCGTGAGAGGAGACGCTGTTCATGTCACACTTGCCAGGCGAGGCGGCACGGATGGCGCTGGTACCTGCAGCGCGCGCACGGCACGGCGATGGGGATGTGGGAGCACGGTGGCGAGGTATTCCCGCACGAGCAGCAGCGCGTGGCGGGGCAGGCGTGGAGCAAGGTTGGAAACGGCCAGGGCACCGCTCAGTGGGGACTGATGGTGCGGCTCCGAACTTAGCCGCCGCTGCTGTGAAGAGACGCCGTTCACACGTTCGTGCCGTGAACAGGTGGGCTCCATCTTCGAGTCGCTGCTTCGCGACCTCCTCCTAGAAGGGTGGGCCAACGAGGCGGCGGGCCTGCGGCGGGGCATCTCTTTACTAGCGGCTGACTAACCTCAGCCGTTGACTATCAAAGGCGGTGCCCCTACTGCGGAGCGCTGACAACGAGTGAGTCACCCACCCCAGCCGTTACTTGTCAAAGGCGGCAGAGCTGCAGCAAGTGATGGAGCGGAGGGTGCACAGGTGGCTCTCGATGCCCTTCCCCTACGGCTCCGAGCTTGCCTGGGACAAGGGACATGCCGTGAACAGCGTCTATTCACATTCGTGACGCTGTGAACAGGTTCCGAGTTTGCTTGGGACAACACGGGGCACGAGGAGATCGCGACCTGGCTGCTCGCCTCCTGCTCACAGCTAGAGGCGTGGACAGACGCCGTTCACAGCGTAGGAGATCGCGACCTGGCTGCTCGCCTACGGGCACGGCGCTCAGGCGGCGCAGACGGCCGACGCCGTCTCCGCCTACACCAGCCTCTCGCCGCACTGGGCGTGCTGCGGCTCGGCGCGGCGGCCGAGCTGTGCACGGCGTCTCTTCACAGCTGCGTGTGTGTTGTGTGAACAGGCGTACTGCGGCTCGGCGCGCCGTTGGTGGGATTTTGCCATCAACGGCGACGCGCGGCCAAAGTACAACGGCAACGAGCGCGCTGCTGCATCACTTACGCTGTGAACGGCGTCTCTTCACACCTCCATCTGTGAACAGGCAATGAGCGCGTGCTGCATCACTACGCGGGCGCTCTCAGCTCACCACTCCGCCGCGCTCTCGCGCCGCGCCTCTTCACACCTCTCTCCCGCGTCATCTCAGGGGCTCTCAACTCGGTCGTGCTCTTTGACCACGCTCTCGTGGCGAGGGAGGACGTCTGGCTCTGGCGCCCCGCCCCCTGCTCACAGCTGCATGTGTTCACAGCTGGAGGTGTGAACAGGACGTCTGGCTCTGGCGCCTAGCCTCCTGCGCCGCCGGTGGCCCGTTGACGACGATCCGCCCCTCTTCCGGCGCTGCGTCGATGGCATGCTTACCTCTGCTACTCAAGCGTGAGAGAGAGCCGCTGGTTACACGACTAGGAGCCGCGTCGACGGGGTGGCATGCTTACCTCTGCCTCTCAAGCGTGAGAGATGGACTTAATGAGTTAGGCGCCGCGTCGACCGTGCACCAACTGACTGTCACCTGATAGTGAGCAATGATCACACGCGACTAGGCGCCGCGTCGATGGGGTGGCACGGCGACCATTGCTACTCGAGCGAGAGAGAGAGCCGCTGGCTACACGACTAGGCGACACGTCGATCGTCTGTCGCACCAACATGTTGTCACTCAATGGTGATCGACTACGTGAGTTGATTAGGCGCCGCGTCGACCGCGTGGCACACACCACACTTAATAGTGAGCAGTGATTACAGTCGATTAGGCGCCGCGTCGATGGGGTGGCACGGCGACCCCGCCAAGCTGCGGCGCGACGACCTCAGCGCGGACTGGGGGCGATGGCTCCACTGGCACTAAAGGCGGTTCGGTGCGGAGCCGATGAGGTAGCATCTCTACTTTTAGGCGCGGGACTTGCGGCCTTCTGCAGGCGCCGAACCGGCGAGGAATCGAGACCCGTCCGCACTGAACTAAAGTTAGGCTCGGCCTGTACGGCCACTGGCGGAACGCCGGAGCGTACCTCGTCTGCGACCGCGAGGTCGGGGAGTGGCTCTGCCTCTCGTGCGACGTCGTGTCGACCTCCGCTCCGCCCGGCGCCCGCTGCGACGCCGCCGGAAAGGAGGCGCAGGTGGAGATTGCCCCTCGCGATGCGTTTCGACGGCGCGTCTACCTGCAGCCGCTCGGGCTGCTTATGACGGTGGACGGCGGCGCCTTCGAGCGGGTGTCCCTCGCCGTGGGTGGCGCAGCGGGCGGTGGGGCGGTGCTTCGCCTCTCTCCCCTCCCAGCCTCGTCGACGCACGCCCTGCTGACGCTCACAGCAGACGGGCCTCGCGGGGGCGGCGGGGAACGCCGCGTGCACTGCCGCTGCGTGGCGCGCTCGTGCAGCCTCGGGGCGGCGCCCTTCCCTTCCAGAGGAGGCGCGGCCGGAGAGGCGGGCGGTTCTCTGCAGGACAGCCCCTTCGAGCTCAGTTTTGCGCCCGGCGGGGAGCTCAGTGAACCGCCGCTCGCGCGAGTCGCTCTGGCCGTGGAGGCTGCGGGCGAGGCGGAGGGAGTCAGGCTGAAATAGTGACGAAAGCGCAGAGCTGCCCTTTATAAAAAGAGCCGGAAACTAGTTTATCTCGCTTCACACATCCTAGTATCCGAGTGAGGATACATTGGAATGGTAAAAGGGTCCGTCATGCGTACGAGACTCGTGACTCCACACATGGAGAGTACTCACGGTACGAGAGCACGCTAACATCCCCTGGGGTCTTGCCACTAAAGGCGGAGGGTTGGGACTCAATCAGCTTGGCCGAACCACAGGTCCGGAGGAATCCTCGACGTCCTGTGGCCGTCCGCGTCGCCGAAAGGGTTCGCGCCTCAGACCCAGACTAAAGAGAGAGGCCGGCGTACACGCCCGCTCTCACCCCTTCGACAGCGCTGTGAATAGCGCTAACGCCGACGGCGCCTCCCGTTCTCCTTCTCGGAGCGAGCACGCTCAGCGACGGCGAGGGCTCCTGCCACAGAGCCCCAAGACTCGATGGGCGGCAAGGTTGTAGACCGCTCCTCGCTGCCGAGAACGTTGGTGACGTATGAGAGGTCGCCACGCGAGGGCATGTCGGCTACGTTAGCCTCCGAGCGCACGTAGACCATCCACACATCGGCGGACAGCCCGCTGACCAGCGCCCAGAAGCTGTGGACGACGCGCGCCGAGTCGTCGAAGCTAGAGTAGCCCTTGACGATGGACGCGAGAGCCGACGCGTTGTCGATGAAGTGAAAGACGCGACGGTCACGGAAGACGTCCGGCATGGAGTAGTAAACGGCAACGGCTGCGAGGAGCTCTAGCTGGCCGATGTACTGGATGCGCACAGCAAAGAGGCGCATGAAGTCCTCCGGAACGGCAAGGGATGAGTGGTACCACGACCCGCCCTCCCCCTCATCGTCGGGGACGAAGACGACGAAGCCAATCCGAGCAGGGACGTCCTCGGAGGGCGACCACATCGCGTCTGTCCAGACTAGGACGGGCTTGCGCCGGCGTCGCCGCCGAAGCAAACAGATCGTCCTCGGCCGCAGGCGAGACCGACCACTCGCGTCGGCCATCGGCGGACTAGTTTATCTCGCTTCACACATCCTAGTATCCGAGTGAGGATACATTGGAATGGTAAAAGGGTCCGTCATGCGTACGAGACTCGTGACTCCACACATGGAGAGTACTCACGGTACGAGAGCACGCTAACATCCCAAAGCAGAGAGTGGAGGAGCGAGAGCAGAGGGGACTCGACACCCAATGAAGACGAAAGAGAGGGACGGATGTGCGCGACAGCCCATCAGGGACGCGGGACGAGACCCGACGAGAGAGAGGGACGAGGCCCGCGCGCTACGGCGCCGCCGGAAGATCGACGAGAATGTCGTAGTCGGAGCGGTCGCCAGGAAGATCGGTCCACGGCCGCCCGAAACGCGCCAGACCACGGCGAACGGCTAGAATCCACCGACGCCGCACACGAAGCTGCGCCCGGCGGCGGCCCTCGCGGTTGGCGCCCGCCGTGTACCGAACACGCATGCTCTGGTCGTCAGCAGCGACGGCCGGAGGGGCCGCGACGCTAGGCGCAGCGCCCGCATGGCCGCGCCGCCGCGGAGCGAGATGCGCGATAGCGCCCTCGAGCGTCAGCTCGCCGTCGCCGCTATTGGCGTGGGCGCGGCGACGCCAATGGCAGATCTCGTTTTCGTCCTGAGGCGTGAAGGCGATGTCGGGCGGCGCGTGGTGAGAGACGACGGCCCCCATGTCGGCTGGAGAGCCGTGAGACGAGTGGGGCGTGCAGCCGAGCTCCGACCACCGCTCTTGGCCCATGCGCAGCGGCGGCTCGGACGAGAGCACGTAGAGCGAGCGGACTGCGTGCGCCTTGGGGGCGACGCGGCCGTCCACGAGGAAGTCGGAGGCGTAGCGGACGTCTCCCGCGTAGCCGCGCGGCGCCGCGAAGGCGGGCAGCAAGTATGGCCGGCCCAGGAGGGCGGCTCGGTGCTCGGGCCACCATGCCCACGCGCCAAGGAAGCCTTCCGCCGGAAGGTACACGTCGATCGGCGCGCCGTCCTTGGAGAAGGAAGTAACGAGCATGACGCACTGCAGGTCCTCGAGGGGACCGATGCACGCCCGGAGGATGTCAACCATTCGAAGACTCGAGAACAGCCCCAGTACGATCGACCGGGCGAAGAAGCGAGCGGGCGTGTCGACAGGAGACGCGGCCAACTCCTCGAAGTGGCAGTAGACCTTGATAGGAAGAGAGCCCGAGCGGCGCTCGCGCCGCAACTTCCTCCCCGGCGGCGCTGCGGCCTCCGCCACCACGGACCCGATGGAAATGGGAAGCCCAAGGTGGCGGGCTAGGAACAAAAGCCCGGAGCGCACCCCGTCACGTACTGTCGCCCCGCCCTGCGATCCCCTGTTCGCCGAGCGCGCCTTCGCGTCGACCCAAATCAGAAAGCGGTTAAGGAGGACAGGCGAAGCGGGGAGTCCTCCATCCGGGAGGCCGCGCTCGAGGGCGAACTCCCTCAGCCGCTCGAGCGAGCGCCTGGCGTTGCCGAGGACAGCGCCGTCCGCCCCACCCTTGAGCTTGACGGTGGCGACGAGGGCCTCCATCCTCTCGGAGTCGTCGGGGACTTGGGCGAGGCCTTGCTCGCCCCCGAGGAGGTCGAAAACAGAGGACGGAGGCAGCTGGGCGGCCAGCCATCTCGCGGCTCGATCCAGCTGGTACGCCTGGACGTCGGCGTGCGAGGACATCGCCTCGCGCTCCTCGGCTGACGCACGCCGCCTCTTCCCGCGTTGGGAGTCGCCCGACGGGCCGACGGCAGAAGATGTTCGTTGACGGCACGAAATGGAGGGCTGCGCGGAGGGCGCAGGCCCCAGGCCAGCGGCCCCGAAAGGACGTCCGCGCGCCGTCAGCTCCGCTGGGGGAAGGGCGGAGGCAGCCACGCTAGCCCTCGATGGCGCAGGGACGGGGCCCGAGGGCGCGAGCCTCGCGCCCACCCCCGGAACAAGGGCGGGCGTAGGCGTGCGGCATCCGATGCCCGGCGGCCTCAACGCGGCGCGCATCGGAAGTGCGCCGGCCGGGACCAGGCGCTCTCGGGATGGCCTGGCGAGAGGCGGTGCCCGTCCCGTCAAAGGGGCCGACCTGCGCGTAGCCACGCTTGGAGCTGTAGCCAAGCCGAACTGCGGCGGCAAGCGTGGCCGACCGGAGGCGCCACCAGGAGGCGCCGCTGGCTGAAGCCTGACCGCCCGAGGCGGCTCGTGGCCGATCGGCCACACGGTCATGGAGAAAAGAAATCTGTGCTGCCGCCGCTCTGGCGGTCAGCAAAAGAGGAGCACGCTGCCATGCAGAGCGCTCGCTAAACGAGGCGGTAAAAGACAGGCGCGTCCTAGACGCCATAGCGTCCATGATAAATAAAACCACACGCAGCGAGCTGCGAGGAGAAGATGGAAGTGTCATGGAGGTGAGTCCTCGTGTGAGTGGCTTCGAGAAACTAGTGGCCTTTCACGAGTTGGGGCCCCCACCCCAATCGTTATCGGCGGACAACACCTCGTGCAACCGCTGCGAATTCTCCCCATTCCTGTCGAGCGCGTGCCTGCGGATACGTGCGCGGCGCTGCCCCCCGCCAAGAAAAGCTTCGTCGAAAACAGTGGAGTGCGCTGGCAAGAGTTCCCATTTGACGATGAGCGACAAACGAAGCTTCGTCGGCGTGTGCAGCGCGACGAGTGGGTGCGTGCTCCACGCCAACCACGCCGGCGAGTGCCGTGTCGCAGAGATGTCCGAGGAGGAGTACGAGGTCGAGGCGTTGCTCAAGGTACGCAGCACGCCGCACCACCGACCCACTGCGACGCGCCCGCCCTGGCGCCCGCCCCAGTACACGCTCTGGCTGCTGGCGAGGACGATCGGTGATTGAGAGTCGGACAGGCGAGTGAGGAATGACACACCCTTCTGTTTCAGCCCAACCGAGCCAGCGCCGAGCGTAGCCTTCCCATCTCCCCTGCCCGGTCCCTCCCTGCGCTCTACCTGGCCAACACGTGCCAGCCAAACGGCGTGACTCCGCCCGTCCACCACCACCACCCGGCCGGCAGGAGCGGCGCGTGGGCAAGCGGAGCCAGTTCCTGGTCAAGTGGCAAGACTGGCCAGAGGAGGACAGCACTTGGGAGTGGGAGTCGTCGCTCTCCAACTGCAAGCAGAAGGTGCGTGAGTACCGGGCATCGGCCGCCGCGGCAAAGCCCCCGCCAGAGGCGCCGCCGAAGAAGAAGCGCCATGCAGGAGCCGTGCCGGCAAAGGCAACAGCGGACGCCAAGCGGCCGAAGCGCAGGGACACGCCCGCGATCGAGGCGGCGCCAAAGCCGGCGCCAAAGACGTCAGCGCCACAGAGCACAGGTGGCAGGGCGACGCCAGAGCCCGCGGCCGCCCAGGCGTCGAGCACGGCATCGTCTGCGGCGACATCCGCCGCCGAGCTGACCACTCCAGAGGCTGTGGACGGGTCGCCGAGCTCCGAGCAGGCGGAGCAGGGAGAGAGAGCTTCCGAGACGGAGGAGGAGGAAGCGGGTGAGCCGACGCCGGCGGCCGGTTCTGACCAACGCGTGGGAGCGGCCAGCGATGGAGCTTGCGAAGCGGCGGCGGAGGGAGGCGCGGCGGAGAACGGCTCGGTGGATGCAGCGGGCGCAGAGGGCGATACCGGCGCGGAGACGGCGCGGCGAGGGGCGGCGGAAGCGGCAGCAGATGTGGGCTCGCTGCAGGAGGCACCTCCTACCGCCGCAGCGTCTCCGCGGCGGAATCACCTGGCGGCCGCTCTGCCGGGGAAGGAGGTGGAGGCACCGAGGAGGGAAGCGGAGCAGGCCGCCTTTGCACCTCTCGCGGCGGCGGCGGCGGAGGCGTCGCGGATGGAGACGGAGGAAGCGGACGAGGACGAGGAAGATGAGGACGAGGACGAGGCGGATGATGCCGGTGGGTGGTACGGAGAGGGCGCGACGGGGGGCTGGGAGGACGAGGACGACGATGCGTATGAGCCGGACTACTAGTGTATGCGACCTAGTAGCTAGGTTGCGACTGCGCTACTAGTGACTCGCGCTCCGGTGTTCAGACGGCCTTTCACCAAATAAGTCCTAAAATCTCGCGTTTCAACCAATTCACACCCACGTGAATCTGAGTGAAGTTCCTTTGCCACGTTCCAAGGCGCTGCAACTTACGTCCCTTCCACCTTCGGCATGTCTGGTCTCGCGAGCAGGCTTCTCGACGCGGCGCTCGAGGATGGGGACATGCGCGGCCCGCTGAGCGGCATGTTCCCCGTTCATCTCCCTGTCCCTTCTTTTGCCGACGCCCTCGCGACGCTGAGCGACAAGCTTCCAAAGGTCGACCCGAGCAAGGGCCAGCTCGCAAAAATGGCATGGAAGAAGGCCGGCAGCATCCAGGCCCAGTTCCCGTCTCTCACGCGCGACGAGTGCGCTGCTGTCGTTCTGTACACGATGGAGGACATGCCGCGCGAGCGATCTCCCTACTACGTGATGAATGCTGCGCTGAGGGAGAAGAACCGGCAGGCGGTGAGGCCGTGGCGAGACTTTGTGTGGCTGCTGCTGCACGCGCTGCGCAAGCTGCCGCCGAGCAAGGCGCGCGTTGTCTACCGTGGCATGGCCGGATCGGAGCTTGAGGAGGGAGCCGAGCTACAGTGGTCGGCCTTCTCCAGCACGGCGACTAAGGTTGACGTGATGGAGGTTTTCCTCGACGCGGAGGAGGCCACCGCGGGACCGCGCACCATGATCCACCTGGAGCTCACCGAGCCGGTCGGCCGCGACGTCTCTGCCTTCTCCCTCTACCCGCAAGAGTGCGAGGTGCTGCTCCCACCCAATGTCTGCTTTGAGGTTGTGTCGCGCTACAAGGCCGGCAGCGGCCTCGTGATCGTGCAGTGCAGGCAGACGGAGAGCCTCGACGCGCTGCTCGACTTTGGCCGCAGAGGGGATGTGCCTTTGGGGCAGCCCGTCGATGAGGTGCCCATGGGAGCGCCGGCCGACGCGGAGGAGGAGCTTCAGGCAAAGATGGCGCGGCTGCAGGTCGCGAGGGAGAATGCGGTGAAGGAGGCTCAGCGCGAGCGCGACGTGAGCCGGCTGATTGAGCTCGGAGCTGAAACGCGTGAGCGGGCAATCGAGCTGCTTGAGCGATACGGCTCGTTGCAAGCGGCTGCGAACGCGTTGTGCGCGGCTGCGGACACCTCCATTCCTTCGGAGGTGCGGAAGTGGGTCGAGCAGCTGCGCAGCGGAGGGGAGCGGCAGAAGGAGGAGGCCGCGGGGGCGCTGCGGAACCTCGCTGCCAACGCCGATAACAACAAGGTGGCGATCGCGAGGGCGGGCGGCATCGCGCCTCTGGTGGCGCTGGCTCGCGGCGGCACGGACGGGCAGAAGGAGGAGGCCGCGGGGGCGCTGGCGATCCTCGCTATCAACGCCGACAACAAGGTGGCGATCGCAAAGGCGGGCGGCATCGCGCCGCTGGTGGCGCTGGCTCGCGACGGCTCGGACGGGCAGAAGGAGTATGCCGCGGCGGCGCTGGGGAACCTCGCTGTCAACGACGACAACGAGGTGGCGATCGCGAAGGCGGGCGGCATCGCGCCGCTGGTGGCGCTGGCTCGCGGCAGCACGGAGAAGCAGAAGGAGTGGGCCGCGGGGGCGCTGTTGAGCCTCGCTTTCAACGCCGACAACAAGGTGGCGATCGCGAGGGCGGGCGGCATCGCACCGCTGGTGGCGCTGGCTCGCGACGGCACGGGCGGGCAGAAGGAGTATGCCGCGGGGGCGCTGTGGCACCTCGCTGACAACGCCGACAACAAGGTGGCGATTGCAAAGGCGGGCGGTATCGCGCCGCTGGTGGCGCTGGCTCGCGGCGGCACGGAGAAGCAGAAGGAGCGGGCCGCGAGGGCGCTGAGGAACCTCGCTGTCAACGCCGACAACAAGGTGGCGATCGCGAAGGCAGGGTGGCAATAGCAGGCATTGCACAAGAGGTAAGCGCGAGCCGGTGTTATAGAGATCATCCCTCGCCCGTCCCGTGCCGCCGCCAGAAGAAAGAAAGAAAGTGCGCAGGCCATTGGGCGGGTCTGAGTGCCATGGTGCGTGAAGATTTTGCGTTCTCGCACATGGAGTGTACAGCCGAAATTTCAACTTTGGGACGGCTGGTGCTGCACATCGCCATCGCAGCGTGTTGAAAAGGCGCTCTTGGCGCCACCGCGGTGGTGGTCGAGCGCGTCGCGCACACGATAAAACGTGCGTACGTGATGGTGGTAAGCTCGGTCGAAGGCGGTGGGCCGAAAACGCGAGTAGGTACGGCCGCGCGGGGCCACGGCGGAAAACGGGCGCACGGGCGCACGGGCGCAAGCGGGCGCGGACTTTTGGCGCCCGGAGGGGGGGGGGGGGGGGACCCCTGTCCCAAAGTTGAAATTTCGGCTGTAGTCTCCCAAGCCGTCAAGTAGAGACTCGAGGTATATGATTGTACCCATTCGATCACAGACTCTCTAGCTACATTTTCTGTGCACTGAGTCGACTCTTAACGTACCTCTCCTACCTCCGGCTGCGGCTCGACATGCGGCGCAACCGCCGCCTCTCCCCCACCGGGTCGGACGGCCTCGCACGCGCCGCGGCTGGCAGAAGAGCGGCCGCCTCCAGCCGCGCCGCCTCGTCGTACGCGTCAAGACGCGCGAGCAGCTCCTGCGTCGCCGCCGCCCCGCCCGCGCCGCCCGGCGCTAGGCGAACGGCGCCGGCGGCAGCGTGGCTTGGCGGCGGACGAGCGCCCTTGTGCGAGAACTCGCGCTCGGCCCAACTCCTCGCCGCCGCCTATCCACAGCAGGTGTGTGACGAGGCGCCCTGGGCGGCCCCTCGGCGCCAGATCCGCCGCCGCCGCCGACACGCGCGTATCCGCCTAAGGGAAGGTTCCGGGAAGGTTCCGGGAGCAGTTCAGGGAGAAGGTCCGACACACGACACACGCTCGTGTCCGCCTCGATGGCGTCGTACGCAAGGCAGGTGACACCTATAGAGAAGGTACACGGGACGGTTCAGGGAAGGCTCATGGCACCCGGTCCGTGTCCGATGCACGTGACGGCTGGCGCCTAGAACGCGGAGGCCCCAGGGAGAAACCTCAGGGAAGATTCCGCCTCTCGGGGTCTGTGTGAGGCGCACGAGAGAGCGCCGTAGACGATGTCGCGCGCAAAGCGAGCGTCGAGCCCGAGGACCGACTGGAGGAGGCGGAGCCTGCGCGGCAATCGTGTCACGCTCACACATCCAATCCTATCACGCCCCTGCAACGAGGAGGCGGAGAGGCAGCCTGCGGCAATCGTGTCACGCTCACACGCCCACTCCTGCCACTCCTGCGCAACGAGTGGACACGAGCCGAACAACCTATGGCAGCACTCGTGCCACGCTCAAGTGTCAATCCTGTCACGGCTTGGGCTGCGGCGGAGGAGGCGAGGCCGGAGGCACGGGTGGGCGAGGGAGCCGACGAGGGCGTGGAGGCGGGAGGCGAACTGCAGCGCGCTCGAGGCCTGGGGGGGGGGGGGGGGGGGGAACAAGGAAGGGCCCCTTTTTGGGTGGGGGGGGTTTCCGGGAAATACCGGGGGTTTTAACCCTCGGGGCCCCCCCCAAACCAATTAGGTCCAAGAGGAAACGGCCCCCGTTGGCCCCCCCCCCCCCCCCCCCGTCCTCCTTCTCCCTCTCCCTCCCGCCCCTCGCCCACCCTTCGCCCTCCCTCCCTCCCTCTGCCCCAATAAACAAAAAGGTACGCCCTCCTGCCTCGCCACGCTGCAGAGGACGGCCGCGTGTCGCTTTGGTTGCACTGGCCCGGCTCTGCCTCCACGGGCGCACCGCCGCTGCGTGCGAACCTTCTCGGAATTTTCTCGGAGCGTTCTCGGATCCGACCCGTAGGCGCGCCGCCGCTGCGCATCTGCGTGAGCTTGTGCGCCTCTCGGCCTTTCGAGCGTAACTCCGCTGTGATCGGCGTCTGTTCACACCAAATGCATCGTGGACAGGTACGTCTCTCGGCCCGCGCGCGAGCTGGTGAAGAGTTTCGGCCGTCACGCGGCGACGGAGGCGTGGCTACCCAGGGGCGATCCAGACCCGTGGCACCGCGACGCCGCCTTCCTCGGCTGGGACCAGAGGACAACGGCGGCGGGCGGCGGGCCGGCGGCGGGCGGCGGCGGCGGGCGGCGGCTGCTCGATGACCACCGCATCTTTGTGTCTGGGCTGTCGGACGAGGCGGGCCTAGCCACGCCCCTCGCCCTGGCGGTCAAGCAGCTGGGTTCGCCCTCCGACGACGAGATCGAATGAAGATTCGGAGCACGCGCGAATTCACACTGGGCGATTATTGAGTAGGCTCGCAAGACGAAGACGAGATCTCGAGGTAGCAGTTACCACGCGCCAATCACACGGAGTGATTATTGGTTAGGCTCGCAAGACGAAGACGAGATCGAGGTGGCAGTTGTTACCACGCGCCAATCACCGCGGAGTGGTTGTTGGGTAGGCTCGCCCTCGGACGACGAGATCGAGCGGCTCGAGGAGTTTGTCGACGAGTCGCTCTACCAAGGCAGCTCCGCCAGAGTTCGCGAGAGGAGCGGATGTTCGCGAGATCTCGCGAGATCAGCGGAGATCAGCCGAGGTTAGGCAACTCCTCCGACCGGCGCCGATTCCTGCAGTCGTCGGCTGACCACGCCGTCCGGCTGTCGATGACCTTTTGGCCAGACGAGATGCAGAGCGAGCCAGCAGCCACGATCAATGATTGACAGTTAGTGACTCATCGCAGGTCGGGCGAGATGCAGCAAGATAGTAGCTATGGTCAATGATGAGCAACTCAAAAGTTGGTGACTCATCACAGGTCAGACGAGATGCAGCGCCAAGGCAGCTCGCAGGGCCGCGCTGCCGCCGCCGCAGCGCCGCTGCTGGCGCAGACGTGTCGCCGCTGCTGGCCGGACCGTTGCCTGTGGGGCGAGTGCCGCCATCACTAATTAATCAACAGTAATTAGCTACTGGTGAACCGTAGGACCGCTGCTCGTGGAACGAGTGCTGGTCGGAGCAGCACTCGCTCGAGTCATGGAACGCGTACAGTTACCCGCACGTGTCATGATGCAGACAGCGTCTTCACAGCGGTGCGTGTGTGGACAGGCGCGCGTACAACTACCCGCACGTGACCGCCGTCTACTGGTCCCTCTACCGCCTCGGCCGCCGCTTCCGGCCCGCCCGGGTGAGGCGGCACGGATGGCGCTGGTACCTGCAGCGCGCGCACGGCACGGCGATGGGGATGTGGGAGCACGGTGGCGAGGTATTTCCGCACGAGCAGCAGCGCGTGGCGGGGCAGGCGTGGAGCAAGGTTGGAAACGGCCAGGGCACCGCTCAGTGGGGGCTGATGGTGCGGCTCCGAACTTAGCCGCCGCTGCTGTGAAGAGACGCCGTTCACACCTCCGCGACGTGAACAGGTTGGCTCCATCTTTGAGTCGCTGCTTCGCGACCTCCTCCTTGAAGGGTGGGCCAACGAGGCGGCGGGCCTGCGGCGGGGCATCTCTTTACTAGCGGCTGACTAACCTCGGCCGTTGACTATCAAAGGCGGTGCCCCTGCTGCGGAGTGCTGACAACGAGTGAGTCACCCACCCCAGCCGTTACTTGTCAAAGGCGGCGGAGCTGCAGCAAGTGATGGAGCGGAGGGTGCACAGGTGGCTCTCGATGCCCTTCCCCTACGGCCCCGAGCTTGCCTGGGACAAGGGACATGCCGTGAACAGCGTCTGCTCACATTCGTGACGCTGTGAACAGGCTCCGAGTTTGCTTGGGACAACACGGGGCACGAGGAGATCGCGACCTGGCTGCTCGCCTCCTGTTCACAGCTAGAGGCGTGAAGAGACGCCGTTCACAGCGTAGGAGATCGCGACTTGGCTGCTCGCCTCCTGTTCACAGCTAGAGGCGTGAAGAGACGCCGTTCACAGCGTAGGAGATCGCGACTTGGCTGCTCGCCTACGGCCACGACGCTCAAGCGGCGCAGACGGCCGACGCCGTCTCCGCCTACACCAGCCTCTCGCCGCACTGGGCGTGCTGCGGCTCGGCGCGGCGGCCGAGCTGTGAACGGCGTCTCTCCACAGCTGTGTATGTATGTGTGAACAGGCGTACTGCGGCTCGGCGCGCCGTTGGTGGGATTTTGCCATCAACGGCGACGCGCGGCCAAAGTACAACGGCAACGAGCGCGCTGCTGCATCACTTACGCTGTGAACGACGTCTCTTCACACCTCTAGCTGTGAACAGGCAACGAGCGCGTGCTGCACCACTATGCGGGCGCTCTCAGCTCACCACTCCGCCGCGCTCTTGCGCCGCGCCTCTTCACACCTCTCTCCCGCGTCATCTCAGGGGCTCTCAATTCCGTCGTGCTCTTTGACCGCGCTCTCGTGGCGAGGGAGGACGTCTGGCTCTGGCGCCTCGCCTCCTGCTCACAGCTGCATGTGTTCACAGCTGGAGGTGTGAACAGGACGTCTGGCTCTGGCGCCCCGCCTCCTGCTCACAGCTGCATGTCTTCACAGCTGGAGGTGTGAACAGGACGTCTGGCTCTGGCGCCTCGCCCCCTGCTCACAGCTGCATGTGTTCACAGCTGGAGGTGTGAACAGGACGTCTGGCTCTGGCGCCTAGCCTCCTGCGCCGCCGGTGGCCCGTTGACGACGATCCGCCCCTCTTCCGGCGCCGCGTCGATGGCATGCTTACCTCTGCTACTCAAGCGAGAGAGAGAGCCGCTGGTTACATGACTAGGAGCCGCGTCGACGGGGTGGCATGCTTACCTCTGCCACTCAAGCGTGAGAGATGGACTTAATGAGTTAGGCGCCGCGTCGACCGTGTGGCACACACCACACTTAATAGTGAGCAGTGATTACAGTCGATTAGGCGCCGCGTCGATGGGGTGGCACGGCGACCCCGCCAAGCTGCGGCGCGACGACCTCAGCGCGGACTGGGGGCGATGGCTCCACTGGCACTAAAGGCGATTCGGTGCGGAGCCGAGGAGGTAGCATCTCTACTTTTAGGCGCGGGAGTTGCGGCCTTCTGCAGGCGCCGAACCGGCGAGGAATCGAGACCCGTCCGCACTGAATCAAAACTAGGCTCGGCCTATACGGCCACTGGCGGAACGCCGGAGCCTACCTCGTCTGCGACCGCGAGGTCGGGGAGTGGCTCTGCCTCTCGTGCGACGTTGTGTCGACCTCCGCTCCGCCCGGCGCCCGCTGCGACGCCGCCGGAAAGGAGGCGCAGGTGGAGATTGCTCCTCGCGATGCGTTTCGACGGCGCGTCTACCTGCAGCCGCTGGGGCTGCTTATGACGGTGGACGGCGGCGCCTTCGAGCGGGTGTCCCTCACCGTGGGCGGCGCAGCGGGCGGTGAGGCGGTGCTTCGCCTCTCTCCCCTCCCAGCCTCGTCGACGCACGCTCTGCTGACGCTCACAGCAGACGGGCCTCGCGGGGGCGGCGGGGAACGCCGCGTGCACTGCCGCTGCGTGGCGCGCTCGTGCAGCCTCGGGGCGGCGCCCTTCCCTTCCAGAGGAGGCGCGGCCGGAGAGGCGGGCGGTTCTCTGCAGGAAAGCCCCTTCGAGCTCAGTTTTGCGCCCGGCGGGAAGCTCAGTGAACCGCCGCTCGCGCGAGTCGCTCTGGCCGTGGAGGCTGCGGGCGAGGCGGAGGGAGTCAGGCTGAAATAGTGACGAAGGCGCAGAGCCGCCCTTTATAAAAAGGGCGGGAAACAACACCTCGTGCGTGCAAGAGAGACCTCGCTGCCACGCGCGATTCTCAGATTTGCCGTCGAGCGCGTGCCTCCGCGGATACGTGCGCGGGCGCGCCGCCCCCCGCCAAGAAAAGCTTCGTCGAAACAGTGGAGTGCGCCGGCGAGAGTTCCCTTTTGACGATGAGCGACAAACGAAGCTTCGTCGGCGTGTGCAGCGCGACGAGTGGGTGCGTGCTCCATGCCAACCACGCCGGCGAGTGCCGTGTCGCAGAGATGTCCGAGGAGGAGTACGAGGTCGAGGCGTTGCTCAAGGTACGCAGCACGCCGCACCACCGACCCACTGCGACGCGCCCGCCCTAGCGCCCGACCCAATACACGCTCTGGCTGCTGGCAAGGACGATCGGTGATTGAGAGTCGGACGGGCGAGTGAGGAATGACACACCCTTCTGTTTCAGCCCAACCGAGCCAGCGCCGAGCGTAGCCTTCCCATCTCCCCTGCCCGGTCCCTCCCTGCGCTCTACCTGGCCAACACGTGCCAGCCAAACGGCGTGACTCCGCCCGTCCACCACCACCACCCGGCCGGCAGGAGCGGCGCGTGGGCAAGCGGAGCCAGTTCCTGGTCAAGTGGCAAGACTGGCCAGAGGAGGACAACACTTGGGAGTGGGAGTCGTCGCTCTCCAACTGCAAGCAGAAGGTGCGTGAGTACCGGGCATCGGCCGCCGCGGCAAAGCCCCCGCCAGAGGCGCCGCCGAAGAAGAAGCGCCATGCAGGAGCCGTGCCGGCAAAGGCAAAAGCGGACGCCAAGCGGCCGAAGCGCAGGGACACGCCCGCGATCGAGGCGGCGCCCGAGCCGGCGTCAAAGGCGTCAGCGCCACAGAGCAGAGGTGGCAGGGCGACGCCCGAGCCCGCGGCCGCCCAGGCGGCGAGCACGGCATCGTCTGCGGCGACATCCGCCGCCGAGCTGACCACTCCAGAGGCTGTGGACGGGTCGCCGAGCTCCGAGCAGGCGGAGCAGGGAGAGAGAGCTTCCGAGACGGAGGAGGAGGAAGCGGGTGAGCCGACCCCGGATGCGGCCGGCTCGGACCAACGGGTGGGAGCGGCCAGCGATGGAGCTTGCGATGCGGCGGCGGAGGGAGGCGCGGCGGAGAACGGCTCGGTGGATGCAGCGGGCGCAGAGGGCGATACCGTCGCGGAGACGGCGCGGCGAGGGGCGGCGGAAGCGGCAGCAGATGTGGGCTCGCTGCAGGAGGCACCTCCCACCGCCGCAGCGTCTCCGCGGCGGAATCACCACGCGGCCGCTCTGCCGGGGAAGGAGGTGGAGGCACCGAGGAGGGAAGCGGAGGCCGCCTTTGCCCCTCTCGCGGCGGCGGCGGCGGAGGCGTCGCGGATGGAGGCGGAGGAAGCGGACGAGGACGAGGACGAGGAGGACGAGGACGAGGCGGACGATGCCGGCGGGTGGTACGGAGAGGGCGCGACGGGGGGCTGGGAGGACGAGGACGACGATGCGTATGAGCCGGACTACTAGTGCATGCAGTTGTGCTTCTAGTGACTCGCGCTCCGGTGTTCGGACGGGATCCCACCAACTTACTTCTAAAATCTCGCGTTTCAACCAATTCACACCCACGTGAATCCGAGTGAAGTTCCTTTGCCACGTTCCAAAAGGCGCTGCAACTTACGTCCCTTCCACCTTCGGCATGTCTGGTCTCGCGAGCAGGCTTCTCGACGCGGCGCTCGAGGATGGGGACATGCGCGGCCCGCTGAGCGGCATGTTCCCCGTTCATCTCCCTGTCCCTTCTTTTGCCGACGCCCTCGCGCCGCTGAGCGACAAGCTTCCAAAGGTCGAGCCGAGCAAGGGCCAACTCGCAAAAATGGCGTGGAAGAAGGCCGGCAGCATCCAGGCGCAGTTTCCGTTTCTGACGCGCGACGAGTGCGCGGCGATCGTTCTGTACACGATGGAGGACATGCCGCGCGAGCGGTCTCCCTACTACGTCATGAATGCCGCGCTGCGGGAGCAGAACCGGCAGGCGGTGAGGCCGTGGCGAGACTTTGTGTGGCTGCTGCTGCACGCGCTGCGCAAGCTGCCGCCGAGCAAGGCGCGAATGGTCTACCGTGGCATGGCCGGGTCAGAGCTTGCCGCGGGAGCCGAGCTCCAGTGGTCGGCCTTCTCCAGCACGGCGACAAAGGTTGACGTGATGGAGGTTTTCCTGGCCACCTCGGGACAACGCACCATGATCCACCTGGAGCTCACCGAGCCGGTCGGCCGCGACGTCTCTGCCTTCTCCCTCTACCCGCAAGAGTGCGAGGTGCTGCTCCCACCCAATGTCTGCTTTGAGGTCGTCTCGTGCTACAAGGCCGGCAGCGGGCTCGTGATCGTGCAGTGCAAGCAGACGGAGAGCCTCGACGCGCTGCTCGACTTTGGCCGCAGAGGGGATGAGCGCGACGTGAGCCGGCTGATCGAGCTCGGAGCTGAAACGCGTGAGCGAGCAATCGAGTTGCTTGAGCGATACGGCTCGCTGCAAGCGGCTGCGAACGCGTTGTGCGCGGCTGCGGACACCTCCATTCCTTCGGAGGTGCGGAAGTGGGTCGAGCAGCTGCGCAGAGGAGGGGAGCGGCAGAAGGAGGAGGCCGCGGGGGAGCTGGCGAGGCTCGCTGACAACGCCGACAACCAGGTGGCGATCGCGAGGGCGGGTGGCATCGCGCCTCTGGTGGCGCTGGCTCGCGGCGGCACGGACGGGCAGAAGGAGGAGGCCGCGGGGGCGCTGGCGAGCCTCGCTCTCAACGCCGACAACCAGGTGGCGATCGCGAAGGCGGGCGGCATCGCGCCGCTGGTGGCGCTGGCTCGCGGCGGCACGAAATGGCAGAAGGAGGCGGCCGCGGGGGCGCTGGCGAGCCTCGCTCTCAACGCCGACAACCAGGTGGCGATCGCGAAGGCGGGCGGCATCGCGCCGCTGGTGGCGCTGGCTCGCGGCGGCACGAAATGGCAGAAGGAGGCGGCCGCGGGGGCGCTGGCGAGCCTCGCTCTCAACGCCGACAACCAGGTGGCGATCGCGAAGGCGGGCGGCATCGCGCCGCTGGTGGCGCTGGCTCGCGGCGGCACGGACGGGCAGAAGGAGCAGGCCGCGTGGGCGCTGTGGAACCTCTCCTTCAACAAAACGAACCTCGCGGCTATGAAGGACCTGGGGTACGGCATGAAGTCGTTCTTCGGAGGCTGGACGGTCCCTCAGGGATAGCTGCTAGCCAGCCAACGCCCGCCTGCCTGCCTGGTGTGTGCCTTGGGAAGGAGGGAGTGGTGCAGGTCTGCTCGCCCACGTGCACTAGGCCTTGCACTTTGAATGCCGTGGGGCTCACCTGCCCGTGTCCCGGGCGTGGAGATGCGAGACAAATTTGTGTAAAGTTCAAAGGCCGAGCCGTAAAACCACCTGTGCAGCGCCTTAGTTACCTGTTCCTTCACATACGACTCCACAACCACATTTATCAACACAGCGCGCCGCAGTCGACGGAGGCGACAACGATGGAGACGTGGAAAGGGAGCGGCGACGTGCGCAGAGGATGAGGATATGAACTGGGGCGACGCAGCGGAGGGGATAGGCGAGGGAGTCGAGGGGCCGGAGGGCTTTCGCGACAGCGACGATGACGACGAAGGAAGGGGGGTTTGACGGAGGAGCGACACGCAGGAGGAGCGAAATCGCGATTGGCCCGAGCAAGAGGGCGACGGCGGGGCACGAGGGGGCAACGGAGACGCTACCGATGACGCGAACCGAGGCACCGGCGACGGCGGGGACGGGGAGGACGACAGCGAGGTCGAGCTTGACGCAACCGTATCGAGAGCGCCACCCAAAAGGAGGCGGACAGCCATGGAGGTCACCGAATGGAGGGCGAACGGCACGATACGAAAAGGCAGGGCGAGGCGGATGGAGAAAAAAATGCCGAGAAGGGATGGTGGAGGGAAGGGACGAGAGGACGAAAGAAGGGCGAGGAGGACACGAGCGGCCCGCACAGACCGCGAGCAGACAGCGCCTGCTGGCCATTTCGAGACATTCGCAAAGAACGCTAGCTGCATGGGAGGGCTTTCGCGTGAAGAATGGATTGAAATAAACATTCGAACAAAGAAGAGGCGACGGGATGAACCGGCAGAGGATGCAGTGACGTGACACCCCCCTCACACACACACACACACACACACACACACACACACACACACACACACACACACACACACACACACACACACACACACACACACACACACACACACACACACACACGCCGCTCACCCACGCGCACTGGGTCTTGCACTTTGAATGTCGAGGGGCTCCTGTCGTTAGACGTGGAGATACGCGAGGGTCGCCCCCCCCTTGCCCCTGCCCCACACGCCACACCACCTCGTGTGTGTGGAGTTTACCTTACCTCTTAAAGAGGTACCTCCAACACCCGCCACTACCTCCGGCTGCGGCTCGACATGCGGCGCAACCGCCGCCTCTCCCCCACCGGGTCGGACGGCCTCGCACGCGCCGCGGCTGGCAGAAGAGCGGCCGCCTCCATTCGCGCCGCCTCGTCGTACGCGTCCAGACGCGCGAGCAGCTCCTGCGTCGCCGCCGCCCCGCCCGCGCCGCCCGGCGCTAGGCGAACGGCGCCGGCGGCAGCGTGGCTTGGCGGCTGACGAGCGCCCTTGTGCGAGAACTCGCGCTCGGCCCAGCTCCTCGCCGCCGCCTATCCACAGCAGCAAGTGTGTGACGAGGCGCCCTGGGCGGCCCCTCGGCGCCAGCTCCGCCGCCGCCGCCGACACGCGCGTATCCGCCTAAGGGAAGGTTCCGGGAAGGTTCCGGGAGCAGTTCAGGGAGAAGGTCCGCCGACACACGCTCCTCTCCGCCTCGATGGCGTCGTACGCAAGGCAGGTGACACCTATAGAGAAGGTTCAGGGGACGGTTCAGGGAAGGTTCATGGCACCTCGGTCCGTGTCCGAGGCACGTGACGGCTGGCGCCTAGAACGCGGAGGACCCCAAGGGGGGAACCCTCAGGGAAGATTCCGCCTCGGCGGGGTCTGAGGCGCAGACGAGGCGCCGTAGACGATGTCGCGCGCGAAGCGAGCGTCGAGCCCGAGGACCGACTGGAGGAGGCGGAGCCTGCGGCAATCGTGTCACGCTCACACACCCAATCCTATCACGCCCCTGCAACGAGGAGGCGGAGAGGCAGCCTGCGGCAATCGTGTCACGCTCACACGCCCACTCCTGCCACGCCTGCGCAACGACTGGACACGAGGCGGACAACCTATGGCAGCACTCGTGCCACGCTCAAGTGTCAATCCTGTCACGCCTTGGGCTGCGGCGGAGGAAGCGAAGCCGGAGGCACGGGTGGGCGAGGGAGCCGACGAGGGCGTGGAGGCGGGAGGCGAACTGCAGCGCGCTCGAGGCCTAGGGGGGGGGGGGGGGCCCCTTTTTGGGGGGGGGGGGGGGGGTTTACCGGGAAAAACCGGGGGTTTAAACCCTCGGGCCCCCCCCCAAAAAAAAAAGGCCCAAAAGAAAACCGCCCCCGTTGCCCCCCCCCCCCCCCCCCCCAAAAAAAAAAAGGGCGGAAGGGCCCTGGAACCCCTCGGCCCGCGTCTCCCTCCACGACCTGTATATACAGTGTTCACACCGGCAGCTGTGAAGAGGAGTGCTTACCTCAAGCCCATCTCATGCGTGCGGGCATCCGAGTGCACCCGAGACGGAAGAACAAGGCGCTCGCGCCGCTGCAAGGGCCGCCGCCGCCACCGCCGCCGCCTCCGCCGCCTCCGCCTCCGCCTCCGCCGCCGCTGCGGTTGCTGCTGCTGCCGCCGCCGCCGCCGCCGCCGCCGCTGCTGCCGCTGCTTCCCGGCTCCGCACTTTCCAGCCACCGCTCGCACACGCGTATCGCCTCCTCGAGCCTGCAGAGACAAAAAAATAGGGAAGTGTCGGGAAATGATCGGCATCGGCAGCTAGATCGCCCTCTCGAGCCTTAACAGCCAATGAGGGAAAGGTGGGGGAACAGCAGACATCGGCAGCCAGATCGCCGCCGCTCCTCGCGCGCCTGCGAGTAGTGCGCCCCGACACAAACTCGTCGACGGCGATCTGAGCGCCTAATGATATGAAGGAAGGGTCCGAGAAGGGTCCCTGGGTAAGCAACTAACGTCGACGGCGATCTCTGGGCGCCTAATGATATGAAGGAAGGGTCCGAGAAGGGCCCGTGGGTAAGCAACTAATGTCGACGGCGATCTGAGCGCCTAATGAAGGACAGCTCCGAGAAAGGTCTAGGGAAAGACCTCTTGTTGCTAACATGCCGACAGCGATCTCTGAGCGCCGAAGGCCACGAGCAGCTCTTGCTGCGAGGAGCGAGACGGCCCGCCGCCGCCGCCTCCGCCACCTCCTTCGCAACCGCCGCCGCCTCCGCCGCCACCTCCAACTCTACCGCTGCCACCGCTACCGCTGCCCCCCGAGCCGGCGCCGCTGCCGCCCCTGGCACTGCTGCCCCGCCCCTGCTCCTCTCCGTCGTTATCGACCAGCTCCCGCGCCGCCAGCAGCTGGCCTAATGGGGGAAAGGTTCCGAGAAAAGTCAGGGAGACTTCGCGTCCTCGCCGAGCTCCCGCGGCCGGCAGCAGGAGCTTGCCCGCGGCGGCGGCGGTGAAGAGAGACGCTCTCTCCACGTCTCGCGCCTGGGGGAGGGGGATGGGGCGGCGGCGGGGGTGGGGGGGGGGGGGGATAGACAGGGGTGGGATCGCGCGGTACGCCAACCGGTGCGCGCCGGGCAAGTAGCCGCTGCATCTCACTGCGATACGCGCCAGTAATTAGAAGTGAGTGGAATATGTGGACTCGGCGTGAAATAAAGCCGCCAACGCGCCTCCGAGGACCAGTGGCAGTAGTCGGCGCCGCCGCCGCCCTCGCCCCCGCCACCGCGGCCGTCCTCTTGCAAGCGGCGAGGCGAGAAGGCGGAGAAGGGAGGGGAGGAGCCGAGCAGCAGCGGCACAGCGCACCGCACCACCTCCCTCGCCGAGCCTACACTGGCTGGCTTAATTAACTAATTAACGAATGCTCCTAATTCATTAACTGCACCACCTCCCTCGCTTACATCGCATGAGCAGGCGCGCACATCTCTTGCAGGGCGAACGGCACACTCTATGTGCCCCCCTTGGCGCCCCCCCTCCCCCCCCCCACCTCCCCCGTGCCGCGCCGGCATTGTCGCAGAGCGCCGCGGCGCGCAGCGCCACCGACACGGCACGCGAGAGCTCGCCTGTTCACACCGCGCCCCGCTGTGAACACTTCCTCTTCACACCGATGCGGCACGGAAGGAGCTCAGCTGCCGATGCCGCTGCCGCCGCCGTCCGCCGGCCTGCACTTGCCGAGGCACTTTGCGACGTCGCTTCCTCGCTCCGCCTCCCAGGCGAGGGAGGGCGAGGCGGCGAGGACGGCCGCGAGGTCACGGAGCGCCTGATTAGTTCCGCCAAGCGAATCAATCCATTCACACTTCGGCATTGGACTAGAGACGGGTTTGAGCCCATCTCGGGGGGGGGAGGGGGCGGTGCGCGGCGCGCCTCCGACACCGCCTCGTGGGTGATGCCTGTTCACAGCCCTCCGGTGTGAATAGACGCCACCGATACCGCTCCGTAGGGTGTGGAGGTGATGCCGACGGCGGCGTGCAGCGCCACCCGCTCGAGCGCGCTGAGGCCTGTTCACAGCTGCTGGTGTGAATCGGCGCTGCGATCACCAACGCACCTGCGACGAGAGGCAGCGCGGAGTCCGAAGCCGGTTGGGTCCACCGGCAGCCGCGCCTCCAAGCCGCTCGCCGCCGCCCTCGCCTTGGGAGGCAGGCACGACCCCGGAGTATTAATTGCGATTATTAGTGGAGCATTGGATGTGTAGTTCATGCGTCATTTGCGGTGATTGGTTATTTCTGTACACTAGACTTGGCCACGGGCCGACGAATCGATTAGGCCCCCTCGCGCCTTGGCAGGCACTGCCGCTTCGCCCGGCGCCGTCTGCTGCAGCGCCGCCTGGGAGGGCAGAGAGTGTGGCTGTACCGTGAACGAGACGGAGGCAGCACACTGCCCGCTGCACATACAAAGGCAGGGCGCACTATCACCGCTGACATGGGACGCATGGCGGGGGTGGGAAACTCTAGCAATGCCAGGGTCCGTGATGCGTGTTGCTTGTCCGTGATGCGTGTTGCTTCTTCCTAAAGAGTCGCTCTACTACTCCAAGTACTACCAGTGCTGCTTTAGCTCCGCTTACTAAACTGTGGCACATCGAAAGCATGGCATGGGAAGCTAGCATGGTAGAGGGTCCTATACTGCGTAGCGTCTCCTGCACGGCGGCGGCGCCGCACTCCGCACCCTGCAGCAGCGCGGTCTTTTGCTCGGCGGACCTCACGGGCACCGCGCCACCTGATTAATAAATAGGCCGTCTAATTAGCAGCTCACGGGCATCACACCACACCGCGAGCAACGCTTGCACATCCACGCCGCACGAGATACTGTGAGTAGATTCTAGGATTCTGCGGTATCCGGAGATATGACTAATAGGAAGGCCCGAGGTCGTCCGAGGTTGCCCGAGGTTGTCCGAGATTGTCCGAGATTGCACCTCCCGGCGTCACGCGCACGACGGGGAGGGAGAGGGGAGGGAAGGCGTGCTCGAGCAGGTCCCTCGCGCCTATTCACAGCAGCTGGAGGAGTGCAGCTGTGAGCAGAGGGGCGAGGGAAGCATAGCCACGGCCGCGCCTGTTCACAGGTCACGGCCAGCAGCTGGAACAGTCTAGCTGTGAACAGTCTAGCTGTGACCCCAGAGAGAGGGAAACAGACAGTGCTCTTCTAGGGGTAGTCACGTTCATAGGGGCAGATTGCAGCTGTGAAATGAGGAGGGGAAGCGATCTTGCTCAAAGCAGGTCTCTGTGCGCGCGCCCATCGCTATGCCGCAGGTGGCCTTCTTGTGTGAATTTTGAAGCTACGTCCCCTGCCGCTAGTCGCTTGGGCGTGTGGGTAGGGGGTCAGATCTCGTGGAATTAAAAGTTGCGTACGACTAGTCTCTTCGCGCCCATCGCTGTCCGCAGGTGGCCGGGGCGAGAGGAGCGAACCACGACCGCCACAACCGCATCGGCGCTTAGCGGCAGGTTGACCTGCGGGGTACGCACAATTGCAACAGACTTAGTTTCGGCGACTGTGTTTGGTAAGAACAGATTCTTGTGCTCTCGCCGCCTACCATGCCAAAATACTAACATGCCATACTGTACTACCCAGACTGATGAGAATTATGTGTAGTCTCAGAACATGTAATATTGCTCGCAGCGCCGCCTCGTTGTAGGCCAAGAACGGCTCCGCCTCCGCCTCCACCGCCTCCGCCTTCGCCGCCGCCACCGAGACCCCCGCCTCCTCCTCCTCCGCCTCGGACCCGCCTCCAAGCCACCGCAGCACACCAGCCACGAGGCCAGTCCAGCCGCCTAGTCTCGCAGCCGCCACAAGGTCGCCACCCCAGCCTCTCCACGCCCAAGCGACTCTAGCAACCAGCGGCTCCTCCGCCCCCGCTGCTGCCGCCGCCGCGGCCGCGCCGCCTCGCCGCCGCCAGCCCCTCGCGCGCCGACGCCTCAAAAGGCAGGTGAGAGCAGATTGGAAGAGCTGGGAGGAGTAAAGAGGTGTAAGAGGTATCAGTGAGCAGGTGTGCGAGGTGGGAGGTGGTGGAGAGGCATGAAGTTAGAGAGGCGTATCTCAAGAGGGGTACTGCGTTAGAGGCGCGCCTCGAGGGCGGCGAGGGAGACGCATCAAGACTCGGGAGGTCACGAGAGGTGCGTGTGAACAGAGCAGAGGCGTCTGTAAAGAACAGTAGACGAAGAGCGTGGGAGAGGCATGCTACACACAGAGAGGTGCGCACACCTCGAGGTCGGCGAGGGAGACGCGAGCGGCGTCGCGGCCTCCGCTCAGCGAGACGGCCCCGCTGCGGCTGATGGTCAGGTGGTGCTCCGTCTTCGCGTTGTAGCCCGAGGGCCAGCAGAGGGCGGCCTGAGAGGTGTGGAAGTCATCAAACGGATGTGCTCATACGGCAGGCCGGGACGGGGTTTCTTAGAAGAGAGTTCGGCGGCCGACTCGTCGAGAGCGCCGCGCGCCAGCAGGATGCCTGCCAGCAAGGAGGCCCTCTTCCATCAGCAAGGGCAGTGAGGGTACGGTGAGGGCTGAATGCGGAGGTGGAGGCGGAGGCGGCCAGCACACCTGCGCAGCCCTCCTCGACGCGGCCGAAGAGGCGCATCCCGCCACCTGGAGAGGAGCGCGGCGAAACGAGGCGGGTGTTGGTGTGATCTGGAGTCAATGAGTGGCGATTGAGTCGCGGTTGCGCGTTTTTTGCAGGAGGCGGGCGCTTGCTTCGCCTCCGGGCGGCGGCAGCGTGCAGGACGAGCGCGAGTGCGAGAGGAGGTCAAAAACAAGGGAGAGCCAGTCGTCGTTCTTTACCGTTTTGATGAGCGCGTCTTGGGAGCGGAGCAGCCCGAGTGCGTTGCGGTGAGACCGCTCCGGCATTGCAGACAGAGGACGGGCGAGCTTGAAGCAAGCGTGATGCTGTCGTGCAAAAAAAGAATTCAAACAGGACAACTCTCTCTCACAGCACACAGGCTCGACACAGGTGCGAACTAAAATTCTCGCGTGTCTCTTAAGAATTTTAAGAAGAGGAGAGTGTGATGCCGCCCGCCCTCGCGATTGCCACCTGGTTGTCGTCGTTGAAAGCGAGTCTCAGCAGCGCCCTCGCGGCCTCCTCCTTCTGCCCGTCCGAGCCGTCGCGAGCCAGCGCCACCAGAGGCGCGATGCCGCCCGCCCTCGCGATCGCCACCTGGTTGTCGGCGTTGAGAGCGAGGTTCCGCAGCGCCCCCGCGGCCTCCTCCTTCTGCCCGTCCGTGCCGCCGCGAGCCAGCGCCACCAGAGGCGCGATGCCGCCCGCCCTCGCGATCGCCACCTGGTTGTCGTCGTTGATAGCGAGGTTCGCCAGCGCCAACGCGGCCTCCTCCTTCTGCCCGTCCGTGCCGCCGCGAGCCAGCGCCACCAGCGGCGGGATACCGCCTGCCTTCGCGATCGCCACCTGGTTGTCGGCGTTGAAAGCGAGGTTCCCCAGCGCCCCCGCGGCCTGATACTTCTGCCTGTCCGTGCCGCCGCGAGCCAGCGCCACCAGCGGCGCGATGCCGCCCGCCTCCGCGATCGCCACCTTGTTGTCGTCGTTGACAGCGAGGTTCCCCAGCGCCCTCGCGGCCTCCTCCTTCTGCCCGTCCGTGCCGTCGCGAGCCAGCGCCACCAGCGGCGGGATACCGCCCGCCCTCGCGATCGCCACCCTGTTGTCGGCGTTGCAAGCGAGGTTCCACAGCGCCCCCGCGGCCGCCTCCTTCTGCCCGTCCGTGCCGCCGCGAGCCAGCGCCACCAGCGGCGCGATGCCGCCCGCCTCCGCGATCGCCACCTTGTTGTTGTCGGCGTTGCGAGCGAGGGTCCTCAGCGCCCCCGCGGCCTGCTCCTTCTGCTTGTCCGTGCCGCCGCGAGCCAGCGCCACGAGAGACGAAATGTCACCCGGCAAGGTGTCGCCGTAGCACTTGGAGAGACAGCGCTCCAGGACGACAGGCACCGCCGCCGCCAACGCCGCAGACGCCAAAGCTTCCATGCCTGAGGAGGGTGCAGCACACGAGGCGCAGCGTGAGTGTGTGCATGAGTCACCATGACATGCGAGAGCTGTCGCGGAGGGGGACGCGGTCTCACTGCTGCGTCGCGGGGGGCGCGCGGGGGCGCGGGGCAACACCGCACGGCCACACAGCACAGCATGCGCCACACAGCACAGCATGCACGCTTTCCGGACACGCTGTTGACAATCAAGCACAGAGCGCAGTCACCAACATGCCACATGCACCCACGAGACGCGTCTGCGACACACGGCTGCGACATGATGGCACTCGCGCTGGTCGCACGGTAGGCGGCGGGGAATGCGAGGAGGTGGAAGCCGCGGCGGCGGCACCTTATGGAAGCCGCGGCGGTACCTTATGAGGAGGTGAAAGCACAGACGGCGGCGCCTTCAGCTCTCATTCCTTGTGCCGCCTTGCTTTGCTTTCACAGTGGTGGCGTGAACACGCGCTGACTGCACTAGCTGCTCTAGCCTAACATGTCACTTCCTGTCGTCTGTTGTTTGAGTTGTGCCCTTGTTTGTGCCCTTGGCACCGTGGAGTGCGGGGGGGGGGCGACAGGGAGGATGTGGCCCTGAGTTATGTGTACGCCGACTCAGAGTGTGTGGCAGCCAGCTGGCTGTGTGTCTTGTGAGCCTGTTTGTGTCTGTGTGTCGCTCGTGCGTGTCGTCATCATCTGTCCAGCGTCCACCCATACCGCGTTGGTGTCCAGTCCGAGCCTGGCTGTTCTTCACCTTTCTACCTACCTACCTACTGCACTCCAAGTGCTCCAAGTGCTTTGATGGTTAAGATCCGGAAGTGGTCCGCCATTTTCGTGCGTGCAAGGTTTTGTACGTGCGCACGACGGCCGAGGACTGGGCGCCTTGTTTGTCGGGAGGCACGATGTGCAGAGAGTTTTGTTCGATGTGTATCGCGCGCCTTGCGGGGGGGGCGCGGATAAGAGGAACCTCTTAGCGCCATCGCCACGGTGCTGCAAGCAGCGCCGGGCGACGACGAGTTACCTCAAAAAAGAAGAAAATCCGCGGCTTTAAGGCCCTTGCCCTGCGAAAGCGCACCCCCCAGGGCTAGGGCTCTCTTGCCCGCAACCCGATGCCAATCATCCGGCCCGCTGGGTGCGCTTCTGAGCTCCCCGGCCCTGGATGTGCGGTTGATGACTGCACTCCAAGTGCTCCAAGTGGCGTTGTTTTCGGCGTTGCGATTTCGCCAGCGCCGCCGCGGCATACTCCTTCTGCCGGTCCGAGCCGTTGCGAGCCAGCGCCACCAGCGGTGCGATACCGCCCGACTTCGCGATCGCCACCTGGTTGTCGGCGTTGAGTGCGAGTTTCGCCAGCGCCGCCGCGGCCTGCTCCGTTTGCGCTTGTCCCCTCCGCCGCTCAGCTGCAGCACCAGCTCCGGCACGTCGGACATGCTCAGGCTGTCCTCTGCTAATGCTCCGCTCCCTGCGTTCTTTTTTGTTTTGAGCTTAGCCTTCGATGTTATGAAAACACGCAAGGCGGACATGGCATATCGCTCTCGGGCTCACAGACATCCCTCACACCCGCCGCCCCCGCGCGCGCCCCACCCCGGCCGGGAGAAAGGGGAGTGACAGTTTGGGATGGCAACAGCCCGAGTATGTTGAGTCCTGGCTCAACAACGCAGAGAACAAGAGGGGGTGGTCCGGCTCACAAGTCCGGCTCACGCGCCTCGAGCTGACCCTCTACCGCACTGATCACTTCCGCCCCCTCGCTCCCAACCCATCCACCTCGCCTCGGGCCGCGCCGCGCGATCTCGGGCGATCTCGCGCGATCTCGGGCGATCTCGGAGCTCCACGCCACGCCTCTCCACCCCACCCCGCCTCACCCACCGCCGCGCCGCGCTATCTCGGGCGATCTCGGAGCGTCGCTCGCGCGGCGTCACACCTGCTCAAAAAGGAAGGAGGTTGGAGGCAGGAGGTCACGCCCCATCCAGAGCGCCGTCGTCGCCGGGTTTTTGGCCCCCGGGTCGTCGCCCGACGGTTGCTGCGCGGGGCAGCAGACCATCGGACGGCGCGACGACGCCCCGTCCGGCACGCTCCCCCCTCCACCCGGCTATTGCCGCACGAGCGCCCTCAGCGGCGGAATTTTTCCCTCGCGCTTCCTTGGGCCCCGGCAACGCCGACGGACTTCCCGTCCCCCCACCCGCGCCGCAATCACCGCCGTGATTGTCGGCGCTGCGCCCCTTGGCGCCTGTGCATGTCCCGCGTGCCCGCCCGCCAAGGCTGGTGCCAAGGCCAACTCAACTGCCAAGGCTGGTGCCAGGGCCAAATCAACTGCCTGGCTGGTGCCAAGGCTCAAAGGCTCTCCTCTCTCTCTCTCCTCCCTCTCCACTCTCTCAACTTTCTCCCTCTCTCTCCCCTGAGACTCTCTCTGCTTACTATGTTCAATCCCCCCTCCGGGTGATGCCAGGGCAGCAAAACGGGCTACGGGTGGTGCCATGCAGCCAGCCTGACCCCCTAGAGCCGCCCGGCACCACCGCACCGGTGCGAGGCGTGATCGTGCTGCTTGGGGTACATTGTTGTTTTCATGGGCTCGAATGCGGTGTGAAAATGGCGCTCCGAGGTGCCGATTTTGCACGCGAGTGCGAGGTTCGAGCTCTCGTGCTCCGTCCACAGGCTGCGAGCCGTCGAGTGCTCGCTTCGCACTTTCCATTGGGTCCGTTGGCGCATATCGGGCGCCTCGCAGGCACGCCGTCCCCGCGTCTCTGTGGAGGAGATGCGTCACCCGGTTGCACTCAAATCGCAGCCGAACGCCATATCGCTCCGTGTGCCCCACCGGTGGCTAGCCTGCCGCCACCGCTTCATCGCACTTTCCATCAGATGTGTGGGCGCGGGGCGGATGCCTCGCCGGCAGCCGAGGTGCTCTCTCCTCGGATCCTTTGCGTCACCCGCAAAAAGTTCTTCGGAAGCCACTGCCGTCTGGGCACTCCACCAGCCCTCCTCGCCTTTTGAGGCTGGGATTGGTGTCGCCCGTGGCATCTGCGCCGGTCGAGAGCTTCCACGTCGCTCATGCGCATCAGGGCGAGCGAAACGCTCGCCCTCGGACCGGTTGCCTCTGTAGAAGCGCCCGCTACTGTGGCACCACGCTGTGTCCCTCTCTCAAAGAGGGTGTGTGTGACGATACGTTCCTTCTAATCTATACCCGTGCCGAAAATCACACGCACACACATCTGAATCACACACACATCTGAAGACAACTATCTGAATCACACGTCGGTCTAGGTCAACATCTCAAAGTCCGAGTCTGTGTCCTCGGCAGGCTCCTGCTCCGCCGCTGCGCCAAAGGCGGTCAGCGTTGCGGAGCCTGTGTGCGGCAGTTGGCGCTGGACATAGGCTAGACGTAACAGCGTGCGCACGTCGTTTCGGCGCTGTGCGACGAAGGCGTTGTTTTTTGCCTTCGCCGTCTTCATCGCCGTGCAAGTCCGCCGCATGCCGTTGAGCGGGGTGATCTCCTCACGCCTGCGGGGGCGGCGCGACACCGGTCAGCCTTATCGCAGGCATGCACACACACACACAGGGAGAGCGCACCCGCGAAGGTACTCGCTGAAGGAGCGAGTCAGGTCGCTCCTCACGTAGTCGACAGCCACCTCCGCGACAAAGTCCACCCAGAGCGCGCACTCGTGAGTGCAAGACTGCAGCTGCACATCCACCACCTCCAGCGCCCAGCCGGCGGCAGGCCCGGGGCTCCGGTGGAAGCAAGACGCGATGCCCGAGTCGATTGCGCCGCCATAGGGCTCGTGGTAGAGCACCCGTCTCTGGTCGACGAAGAAGAGGAGCTGGTGCCAGTGCCCGCCAAACTCGCTGCCGTCGGTAAAGCGCTGCATGACCAGCTTGCGCTCCGTCGGTGCCTCGCCCGCGAACAGCTTCGCCACCCACCCGGTGGGGGCTCCCGATTTGAAGCGGTTGAAGAGCGATCCGGCGCGAATCGTCATCCCCGAGATCGGCGCCCTCGCCTGCACGTCCTGGCTGTCGGCCCACGGTGAGAGGTCCTGCATGTTATGCACAATGATGTTATGCACGCGTGCGATATCGTCGTCCGAGATGTCGAACAGGAGCGTGGCGCCATCCCGAGCGAGCGACGCAGCGCCGCGCATCGAGATTGAGCGCTCCGTACCGCTTTTGTGGCGGTACAAGTACACGGCCTTGCGCAAGGCGGCCGAGTAACGATTACCCGTCATGTTTTGACGCAGCGCGAACTCGATGCGATGGCGTGGCCGGCCGCGCTGCGGCCGGCGCGCCTCCGCTGCCCGCACCTCCGCCGCGCGCTGCCACAGGCCGAGGAGCGAGTCGGCCTCTGTCGGCTCCACCTTGCCGAGCACGCCGGGCAGGTGGAGCGAGAAGAGCTTCACGTCGTCGATCGCCTGCAGGGCGGCCCGCTGCAACAGCGGAGTGTTGAGCGACGCCTGCAAGACGTCGAGGCTGTAGAGGCCCGGGAGCGTCGGCACGTCGCTGGGCTCGTACACCAGCAGCAGCTGCGAGCGAAACGCTACGCCGAGGGAGCGGCCGGAGCGGCCCTGTACCTCTGGCCGCATGACGAATTCGCACATCATCAACTGAATGAATGCACCCCCGCCAAAGTGTCGCAGCGGGTTCGAGAGCTTCAGCGCCAGTTCTCGAACGAGCCTCGTCGTTGCCGCCGCGTGCAGCCGCTGCCGCCGCCGCTCCTCCTCGCGCAGCCCTACGACTTGCAAGTCGAGCCGGGCTTGGGCACGCAGCTCGCGAGGCGTCGGCACGCCTGATGTTTGCGTCCCGGTTGTCGCTGTAATCGCTTCGCGAGCGGCGGCACGGTGGCCAACCTCCTCCAGCTCGAGGCGTCCGATGTCTGCCACCAGCGTGAGCACGCTTGCTTGCTGCTGCTGCTGCTGCTGCGCAGGCTCCGCTGGAGCACTGCTCAGAGAGGGAGGTTCCTCGTCAACCTCCATGCGATCTCCGTTCGAGGCCGCAGCCGACGAGCCGCCGACGAGCCGCTGCGGCGCTGCACGGGAGAGCGATCCTCGGCGTCCGTGCTCTCTCTGGTTGTAGATCCCGTCGCGGCGGCCCTCGTCGCTCGTGCTATGCAGCTCCATGGCCTCGCCGAGGACGTCGCCAACCGAAGCATGCCGCGGCGGTCTCAGGTTCTTTGCGACGCCGACTCTGCGCGAGCCAGCACGGCTTTGCGGCCGCGAGGACGTTGCACTCGGCGAGGGCGCCTGTTGTGACGAGATCGGAAGCGTGAGATAGCGACGACTGCGCAGGCACAGAGTCGCAAACTGGCGGTACCGAGCGGCGATCTGGTCCTGGCCTGGAGCCGGGACGGACTCCTTGGCCGCTTTTGCGACGCTGTCCCAGGCCTGCGCCCGCTCTTTTCGGCATGGCTCGAGCACGAGACAAGTCGGAAAACCGCGACAACTTCGGCGGGCATTCACAGATTTTTACCACCTCGGAAGCAACGCCTGTGTGTTCACCGGTGCTAGAGAGTGTCGAAAAGGAGTCCACACTGCATTCATCGACATCAACGCGCCCCGCTGCGCCGCGCTACTCGCGAGAGCGGGAGGAGATTTGGGGAGATTGTCGGGAGATTTCCAAGGGCGGTTGCTGCCAGACTGGCGGCAGAGGGAGGGCGCTCATAGGGCTGAAAATGATCCATGTCACCTCATCCAGGTACTGGGCTTTCGTCAGTATGTTCTGCAGCACAATCAAAACAAGTAGAGAGAGTCTCTCTCTCTCAAAAACAAGTAGCAGTCACCGAGAAAAAGAATGCACGCAACTAAGCGCTCGAGTTTGCGTTCGTAAAACTAAGACATTGTGTTCATCTTTTACGAGTGTATGTATGTAAGTGGAGATCGAGTGGCGGAAGAAAAGAAATTCATAAAAAAAGAAATACTCGAGCAGATCACAAGCCCGGCGCTTGAGAGAGTTGTCTTCGGCGGCCCACCGGCCACTGATGACGGCTCGTGCCATCCGGGCCGTGCTGGCAGCCTTGTTGGTAGCGACCTCAGCGGCTGCAGTCGACTTTTGCCCGGTGCTTCACGCGAGGGCCGCGTTCGCGGTTTCTGGTCTCTGCCGCGCCCGCGCCGGCCGTCGCTGTGCCTCGCTGACGCTGATTGACGACGGCGGCTGCTCGCTCGCCCTCAACGCGAAGGCTGCCTTTGCCGCCTCAGCGATGGCGACGGCGCTGCTCCATCCGATCGACACGCTCAAGACGCGGCTGCAGTCGGACGCATACACTGTGTCGCCCGCTCGTGCTCCGGTTCTTCGACGCCGGCGTCCCGCACCGGACGAGCCGGCGCGGCCGCGACTGATGACGGGCCTGTACACGGGCCTGCCCGCGAACGTGCTTAAGGAGGCGCCCGACGCCGCGGTCTTTCTGATGGTCTCCGAGGAGCTAAGCCGCACCCTCGCCTACTCCTCGCCGTGGTTTGCGAGCCACCTGGCGGCGGTCGCAGATGCCAAAGACCGTATGGGTTCAGGTACCGGGGTGGGTGCGGGGGGATGTTCGGCCCGTGGGGTAGGGGTCCCCGATGCACCATGCGGCCGCATGGTATGGACCTGCCAAGACACATGCTCCCTGCGAACGCTGGAGAAGTCACACGAACACACGGTGCCGAGGTTAACCGCGCCGGGGGTGCAACACACAGCACACAAGAGGGGCTCTTCGCCTGCGTGGTGTGCTCCTGCCGTACTCACCCCCTCAGCACCCTCTGTGCTGACGCCCCACCCCCCGTCCAAGCGCAAAGACGCTCACCCTCCGATGATATGGTGCAACAGACGCTCACCCTCTTATGGTGCAATAGACGCTCACCCTCTGATGATATGGTGAAATAGACGCTCACCCTCATGCTGAGTGGCGCCGTCGGAGACGCGGCTGGCTCGGTGCTGCGCTTGCCCGCCGAGGAGCTGTGCAATCTCCCGCAATCTCCCCCACAATCTCCCGCAAATCTCCCCAGGTGCTGCGCCTGCCCGCGGAGGTACTGTGCAAGCGGCTTCAGACCGCGAGCGGCGCGGGCGGCGAGGAGGGGGGGCTGGGGCTGGGAGGGTGGCACCGCGCGCTCGCCGACATCGACACAGAGTGCTGGAAGGCGCAATCTCGGGCAATCTCGGCGCATCTCGGCGCATCTCGGTTCATCTCTCGGTTCATCTCGGATCATCTCGGCTCCTCTCGGCTCATTTCGACGCATCACGGCGGACTTCGGCTCCTCTCGGCTGGAAAGGCGTCGTGGGCGGCGATTCTGGTGCGCGACGTGCCGTTCGGAGGGCTGCCAGCCGCAGATGAAGGAGGACCGGCCGTCTTTTTTTCTTTTTTACCGCATATTTCTTTTTCTAGGCTGCAAGTCGCGGCGTACGCAGAGGCAAAGCAGCGGCTGCAAGAGGCCGCCCTTCGCTTGCACGAGCTCGGCAGCGACCTCGGCTCTTGGAGCCAGCGAGCGAACGCCGCCCGATGTACTTCTTTTTCACCCGCTGCATTTTCTCTTCTAGGTTCAGTAGCCAGACGAGCCAACGGCGCGATGTGTGCTTCTTGTTCACCGAATGGATTTCTTTTCCTAGGCTCGGGAGTCAGCGAGCTCGCCGCCGACGCGGTGGCGCCGCTGCCCCCGCCGCCGGCAAACTCCCGCTCGGCTGGTGTGAGTGTGAACGGCGTCTCTTCACGGCGTGGTGCTGTGAACAGGTGGTCGAGGGCCTCCCGCTGGACCTGCTGGCGGGCGTCTTTGCGGGTGCCCTCGCCGCGCTGACGACGGTCCGAGGACTAGCTCTTGAGTGCTCATGAGTAATTCTACTTCGTGAGGCGCGCCCGCCGCCGCGCTGACGACGAGGAATCATGATTGGTTATTAACCATGAATTGCAGTTCCAACAGGCGCCTTCGCCGCCGCGCTGACGACGAGGAATCATGATTGGTTATTAACCATGAATTGCAGTTCCAACAGGCGCCCTCGCCGCCGCGGTGACGACGCCGCTCGACGTGCTGGTGACACACGCGACTACGCAGGACGCGCCCGCCGACGGGAGCAGGCGGAGATGCAACCGAGATCTAGCCGAGATCTGGAGAGCTACCGTGAGCTGGCCGAGAGATAGCCGAGGTCTAGCCGAGGTCTAGCCGAGATACAGCCGAGATCTAGCCGAGGTGCCCGTGAACTAGCCAGAGCTAACCGCGATCTAGCCGAGGTACGACCGAGAGCAGCGACGCGGCGCCACCCTCCCTCCCTCCCCTCGCGCAGGCCTCGCGGCGCCGTCCAGCTCGGCGTGGACCTCGTCCGCGAGCGGGGCGATGTATTTCTTCTTCTTGCGCAGCTGTATTTCTTTTTTGTAGGCGTGGACCTCGTCCGCGAGCAAGGCGCCTTCTAGCTGTGAACAGCGTCTCTTCACACCTCTAGCTGTGAACAGGCGTGGACCTAGTGCGAGAGCAAGGCGCGTGCACGCTGCTGCGCGGGATCACGTGCCGCGCTCTGTACTACGCACTCCCCCGGTGTATTTCTTTTTTACCGCGGCATTTTCTTTCTAGGTGCCGCTCTCTGCACAACGCCGAGGCACACCCACGTATTTCTTCTTCATGCGTTGCTTCTTTTCTAGGTGTCGCACGCTCTACTACGCGCCGCTGATCGGCGTCTTCTTCGGCCTGTACGAGCACTTTCGTCGCGTCTTGAGCTGAGGCGGGCCAGAGGCGCTGGCGGGGGCGGGCCCTCCTCTCTCGTCGGTTGCTATCGGCTACTATCGAGAGCGGGAAGTCGAGCGGGACGGGCGTCGATTGCGTCGGGGTGGGCTGTGCAGAGCTCTGACCTCTGTGGCTTGTGTGGAAGGAAGCGGACTTGACGGACCGACCAACAGCATTTTGTGAGCGTTTCATCGGACACATCGCGGAATGCTGAATGCTGCCGTGCGAGTGTGCCCGACGCGAGTGGCCGCCTGCTATCACCACCCTGCGTTTGCAATCGCCATCTGGTTGTCGGCGTTTTTGTAAGCGAGGTTCCGCAGCGCCACTGCGGCCAACTCTTTCTGCCGGTCCGTGCCGCCGCGAGCCAGCGCCACCAGAGGCGCGATGCCGCCCGCCTTCGCGATCGCCACCCTGTTGTCGGCGTTGCAAGCGAGGTTCCCCAGCGCCCTCGCGGCCTGCTCCTTCTGCCTGTCCGTGCCTCCGGCTCCGCGAGCCAGCGCCACCAACGGCGGGATGCCGCCCGCCCTCGCGATCGCCACCTTGTTGTCGGCGTTGAGAGCGAGCCACGTCAGCGCCCTCGCGGCCTCCTCCTTCTGCCCGTCCGTGCCGCCGCGAGCCAGCGCCACCAGCGGCGCGATGCCGCCCGCCCTCGCGATCGCCACCTGGTTGTCGGCGTTGCAAGCGAGGCTCACCAGCGCCCCCGCAGCATACTCCTTCTGCCCGTCCGTGCCGCCGAGAGCCAGCGCCACCAGCGGCGCGATGCCGCCCGCCTTTGCGATGGCCACCTGGTTGTCGGCGTTGACAGCGAGGTTCCGCAGCGCCCCCGCGGCCATCTCCTTCTGCCTGTCCGAGCCTCCGCGAGCCAGCTCCACCAGCGGCGGGATGCCGCCAGCCTTTGCGATCGCCACCTTGTTGCCGTCGTTGTAAGCGAGGGTCGCCAGCGCCCACGCGGCATACTTCTTCTGCCCGTCCGTGCCGCCGCGAGCCAGCGCCACCAGTGGCGCGATGCCGCCCGCCTCCCTAATCGCCACCCTGTTGTTATCCGAGTTGCTAGCGAGGCTGCACAGCTCCCTCGCGGCCTGCTCCCTCTGCCCGTCCCCTCCGCAGCGCAGCTGCGCCACCAACTTTCGCACCTCTGAAGATGGCTGAAGCACCTCGTCCGCGTTTCCATCGGAAACACTCCGCGCGTCGTCAACAGCCTCCGCCTTGTTTGCATCAACTTTTCGATCGGTGCTCGGTGTCTTCACAGGCCCAGGCCACGCGCAGCACTTCGTCGGGAGCACTGCGGTAAGGAGAACGGGAACTGCTGCTGACACCGCTGCGACAATGATTTCGTCGAGAACCATGCTGAGGCCTGTGCTGAAGGCAGCAGCGAAAATGGAGGCGTGTCGCCGACAAGGAGACTTGGGCCCTCGAACTACTGGAGCGTGCTCCCCGTCGGTGCGAGCGAGAGGGTGCTCGCCTTGTCGGACGCGAAGCGCCACTAGGACTGTGGAATCGCGGCGGGGGCGCTGCGAGCAAGGAATCAATCAAAGCCGGCGCCACCACCAAAGCAACATCCCCCTTTCGGCGGCTGAGGCTACCGGCGTCCGCGGGTCGCCGGAGGCTGGTTTCTCGTTTCTCGAGTGCCGCAGAATTCTCGTTTTCCGTCGAACGGCGCGACGTGCGTCCCTGTCCGCCCGGCGTTGCGAGAGGCACTAGCGGAAAACTTGGCTCCCCCGGAGCGCTTTTGGCTTATCGCTAACGGCATTGCGAGCGAGCGCGCGAGCGACACAAACGGCAGCAAAAAGCGGTGCTCTTCTTTTCCCCGCAAGGCGCGCGATACACATTTTCATGTTGCCCATCCTTCATGAATAGTATGCGGGAGGAACCGAACCTCGGACCAGCCGCTTGCAAAAGCCTGTGTGCAATAGCATGCGGGGGGAACCCGATGATGCTCCGCGCCATGTGCATGGCGTTCGAGTGAACGCCGCACGCGGCCCGTGCTGGTAGCCCGTGCCCTTTGGCGTATACCCCGTTTGTACCGCGTCCTGTGCCCCCAAGTGCATTTTGTGCTCAAAGACCACACGTTTGGGAGGCCGCGCAATGGTTTCTTTTCCCCAATCCCCATTGCCAATTTGTGCTCGCCATTTTTGGGCGATTGGCCAAATTGCCGTTCCCTTTTACTCGCCACAGTGGCGGAAGAGACTCGCTGCAGTCGTCGTGACGATCGCTCGAGCCGCACGCTCTCCACGTGCATCCGCAGCAGCATCTCACAACCCTGACACAGTAACGCGTCGTTGGGTCCTTTCAAGTGATGCCAAGAGCGTGGATCAGCCAGCACGGCGGTACCTTCCACATGGCATTCGTCATCGCCCTCGGCCTCGAAGCCACAGCCTGTCCAAGCACATGCTTTGGGTACACCTGTGACCACTGGAAGCCGTGCTATGATGGCGTTTGCACGGCCGCCGCCCGAAGCGTCGCCACCCGCCCCCTCTCCGCAACTGCCCCCCGTCTCACCCCCGTTGCCACCGCCGCGAGCCTGCTGCCGCGCGATGACCGCGGACTGCCTAGCGTGCGCAGAGGGGATGGACGAAGCCGAGTACTGCGCCAAACACCCTCAGATGATCGGGTGCGTTACGACGCCCCCTGTAGCAGCCAGAACGTGCATGTTGTTCTGTGCCGATAAGACCGACCCTTGGGGGGTGAGGTGCAAGTGGAACGGCTGCGGTGGATGCTCCGAGTGCATAGCGACGGCGCGGCAAGCACGCGAAGCCTCCTGCAGGCCCTTCTGCACCACGAAGACCGACACCTGGGAGGACAAATGCATGTGGAATGGGTGCGGAGCATGCGACGTGTGCCCTGGGCTAACCGTGCAGCCTCGCCCACCGCCTGCTGCAGCGCCGGCGGAGTGCAAGCCTTTCTGTGTCGACAAGACCGAAGGGTGGACCGACAAGTGCAACTGGGGCGGCTGCGGTGGATGTCCGGCGTGCCTCCAGCCTATCCCTGCCCCCACCGCGCCGGAGGCTAGCTGCAAGCCTTTTTGTGGCGGGAAGACTGACTTGTGGGAGGAGCGGTGCACGTGGAATGGGTGCGGCGCATGTGTGGAGTGCTCGAAGGAGCGCTAGCCGCGATGATAGTCGATGTCGAGGGGGGCCCTTGGGGCGTTAGTATTCTTTAGGGTTTTGGGGGTTAGGGGTTTTAGCATTTAGGGGTTTGGGTGCCTGCTGGGTAAACGTGAAATTCATGACACAACCGAGTCAATACCGTACTCGTACGACGTTACCCTCTTGCTGCTTTGATGCGCTTCTCTTCTCGCCTCTCTGTCCGCGCCCGCACGGGCCACGGGGCGGCGGCAATAATGAATTCTCTCACTGTTTGATCGCGATGTGATCTCTGTCGTGGCTGCTCATGCACCGTTTGTCCTCTCACAAGCCGCTTGGCCTCATGCCCGCGCCCGCCGGCGTGAGCAAGCGCGTGCGATGCGAGAGAGGAGCGGCACGGAGAGGCCGGCTCTCCACACATGGTGGTGGTGTGCCACAAACTCCTCTCTGCTGGCTTCCTCCGGCAGCGCAAGCATCGTCAGCCCGAGGTGCGGCTGGGCGGCGGGAGATGCTCGGCCAGGAGCGCGCGACGCGCCTGCTTGAGCTCGGACACGGCCGTGTTGCGCCGCATCGCCTCCGCCACGAGCTCGTCGGTCGAGAGGCCTGTTCACACCGGCAGGTGTGAAGAGACGCGGCTCCCCCCGCCACCGCCGGCGCGGGCGTGCGTGTGCGCGGAAGTGTGCCGCGCCTTCCGCGCCGGGCACGCCGTCAGCGAAGGAGGGGCGCTTGTCGGCGCACCACGAGATGACGCGGTTGACCCAGCGGAGCGGCCGCTGCGCGTCGGAGAGCGCCGCGATCTTCTCCTTGAGCGCCTCCTTGTGCGCCCGCATCTGCGCCATCAGCTCCATGTTGTCGACCGTCACGCCTGTTCACAGCCAGGCGTGTGAAGGGGCGCCCAGCCTCTTCACGGCTCGAGGGTGTCGACTGTCGCGCCCGTGTCGATCGACGCCAGCTCTCGCTGCAGCGCGCCCTTGAAGGGGAGGGCGAGGGCGAGGGTGAGGGTGCGGGCGAGGCTTGCGGGGGAGGGCGGACCGCTCGAAGGTGCTGCCACTAACTAGCTCTAAGTAATTGAGCAGACCTGCGGGACGATGAACGAGATATGAGGAGAGATGGGGAGAGATGGGGAGAGATGGGGAGAGATGGGGAGAGATGGGGAGATGGGGAGGCAGACCTGCCGCGAGACGATGGACGAGAGCGTGTTCGGGCACATGAAGCGCATGTTCTGCGTCTCGAGCACCTTGCGGTCGACCCACACGTGCTTAATAATCAAGCAATTAATTAAGCAGAAGGCCTTAATTAGGAGCACCTTGCGGTCGACCCACACGTGCCCCGGCAGCAGCTCCGACTCGTCCTCCACCTGCGGGAAGGGTCCGAGAAGGGTCCGCGAAGGATGCGCCAAGCTACCCCACCCTCCACTAGCGAGCAGAAGAGAACCGCTGTGTATGTCCGCACTACCCCCCCCCCCCCCCCCCACCCACCCACCCACCCACCCACCCGCCCCCCGCCCCTCACTCACCAGCGAGCAGAAGAGCAGCAGCTGTATGTGTCCGCGCTCGTCGATATCGATCGCCTCGTGGTCGTACAGCACGCCGAGCGGCGCCGCCTGCCCTCGCACGGCCGGCGGTGTGAAGAAGCGCCGTTCACGGGTCCGCAGAGCACGCCGAGCGGCGACGCCTCGTTGACTGCGTTCGTAGCGCCAGCCGACGGCCCACCGCCGACGCCGAGCCGCTCCTTTGCCTGTCGATGAATGATTCATTCTTCAGTCGTTTTTATTACATTGAGGCCGAACGCCGAGCCGCGCTCGGTCGCCTCTCCGATCGCCCACCAGAGCTTCTCGCGGAAGGTCGCCCCCTCCTCGCCAGTCACCTGATTCGACCAATAACTAACACTGGATAACTAGTTAAGTGGAAGGTCGCCCTCCCTCCTCCGCCAGTCACCTCTGGCCCGAGCCAGCCGCGGTTGGGCGTGGCGCCCTCGAGAAGCGGCACGCCCCGCTCCCACCGCACGCGCACGCCGTGCGCCCACGCCCGCTCTTCGTCGGTGAGCTGCTGCGAGGTGAGGAAGATGTGCGGGATCATCACGCGGTTGTGCTCGTTGACCATCACCTTTGATGCATTCATTAATTATTAATTAGCTAGTGATGAGTCATCACGCGGTTGTGCTCGTTGACCATCACCTTTGATGCATTCATTAATTATTAATTAGCTAGTGATGAGTCATCACGCGGTTGTGCTCGTTGACCATCACCTGCATCCGTTCATTATTTTAACTAGTTAGTTGTGAATCATGACGAGGGTGCAATCGTTCGACCATCGCCTTGAAGCCGGACGGCGTCGAGACGACACGCAGGATGCCAAGGTAGACGCCGCGCTCCGGGATCTTCTCGACCTGCGAGTTGAAGAGCACCGCGCCCTTGAACCAGCGGAAGCGGACCGGGTTGGGCGCGAACGGGTTGAACTCCTATAAGTATTGAAGAACTAATTGAGTGACTGGTTCATTAGTTGGTAGTTAATTCATTAGAACGGGTTGAGCTCCTCGTCCTTTGGCGGGGGCTTGCACGGCGCGGCGACCGTGTCTTGCCCGGAGTACTTGAGGTACGTCGCGTCCTCAAACTCCTCGTGCACGCGCCACGAGACCGGGTGCTTCATCGCGCCGGGAGGGAAGTAGGCGCGAACCTCCTCGGGCAGCTTGCGCACGCAGAGCAGCACGGTGAGCCGCGAGTGCTCGAGGTAGATGGGCTTGTCGTACAGCCAGCCCAGCTCGGCGCCTAGAGACGAAAAGAAATTCAGAGAAAAAGAAACACGGCGTGTCGTACAGCCAGCCCAGCTCGGCGCCGTCCGGCATGGCCAGCAGCTTGCGCAGCGCGCGCACTCCGTCCTTGAAGTTGCCGGCGAAGGAGCCGATCTCGGAGTGCGAGGTCTGCATCTGCGTCGAGGGGGGCACCCCCTTGCCCAGCGCCATGCACCACCGCCACTCTGCGTCGGAGATGCGGCCGCGCTGCAGCTCGACGGCGGGGAGCCGCGCGGCGTCTCGCGCGTCCGTCAGCACCATCCGCTCCGAGAGCGAGTCCGTGAAGAAGCACGCCGCCAGGATGACCGTGTCCTCGGCGTACGGTGCGGGAGACTTGACCGCCGAGACGCCGCCGCCGCCCGTCTCGAGGGCGTCCGCCGTCCCCTCGTCCATCTTGCGCAGGTTCTCCTATGGGCAGGTCGCTGGAGGGCTCCTGGAAGGCTCCTGGCGGGTGGGCGGCGGTCCCATCCCGCGGCAGGGTCTCCTTGAGGATGATGTCGAACACGGACGCCATCACGAACTCCATGTTGTCCGAGTCGGTGGCGCACGTCGCGTGCGCGTAGATCTGGCGCTGCTCAGGCCGGTCGTTGAGCGCGAGGAAGCGCGCCTTGAGATCGATGGCGGAGTGGTGTTAATTAATCATTAAGGACGAGTAGCTAATTCATTAGATATATGTAATAGTAAGTAATTGAGTAATAGTAAGTGTCGATGGGAGTGGTATTACTTAATGGTTGAGGACGAGTAACGAGCTAATTAAGAATGATGCAAGCGCGCCTTGACGTGGTCGATGGCGGAGTGGTAGTCGGCCCCGCCGGTGTACTCCTTGTCCCACACAGTGAGGGGCACGCCGCGCTCGAGCTTCTTCTGGAAGATGTCGCGCCTGGCCCATCGAGGTGTGGCGTGGTCTCCTCAGCGTCTGCTCTGGCTGCGGCAGCCGTGGGGAGCTCTTCAACAGCTCTGAGTCATCTCGTGCTGTCTCGTACAATCTCGGGTATTCTCGGCGAGTCTCGCGCTTGTTGAGGAAGAGGATGATCGACGTGTTGTGGAAGGAGCGGTGCGCGAGGATCTGCTGGAAGAGCTGCAGCGCCTGAGGATGGAGTCGGTTCGATGAGGGGGTGTCGGAGCTTGAAAGGCTCTGCTCGAGGCCGCAGCGCCTTTCAATTAATTACACCAAATGAATCAATTAAATTCGACTAATTAAGGGCTCTGCTCGAGGCAGCCGCAGCGCCTCGTCGATGCGGTTGGTGCTCTCGTCCTCGTACAGCACCTGTTCACAGCAGTGGGTGTGAAGAGACGCTGTCCACACCTCTCGTCCTCGTACAGCACCTGCTCAAGGGTAAGGTAAGGTAAGGGGACCTTCTCCACACACACAAGGCGGTGGGGCAAGGGCCAGGCTAGTCCCTCGCGACTCCACGTCTAGGCGACAGGAGCCCCACGGCATTCAGAGTGCAAGGCCCAGTGCGCGTGGGCGTGTGTGTGTGTGCGTGTGTGTGTGTGCTTGCGTGTGTGCACTTGGTCGAACTCGGAGACTGCCGTCACGAAGATGATGGCGGTCACGTTGTCGAACACGTGGATCCACCTACGGGGAAGGCTCCGAGACAGCTCCGAGAAGCCCCCGCGCCCCAGCGGCAGCGGCGAAGAGACGCGGTCTCACTTCCGACGCTCGTTGCGCTGGCCGCCGACGTCGAACATCGAGTAGCGCCGGCCGTTGATGGCGAGGTTCTGCTGCACGATGCCCGTCGTCCGCACGCGAGCTCGCAGCACGTCCTACGAGGCGGCGGCGAGGCGGGCGCGTCGGCAACAAGGATGTGCGGCAGCGGCGGCTGGCGGTGCCACGGTGGCGGCGGCTCCGGAGCCAGAGGCGAGTGTGGCGGGGACAGGGAGGAGTTCGACCGCTGCTCGCCCTCTCACACCCACATGCGCAGTCGTGGCGTGCTTCCGTCCAGGGAACCCCGCCGCGCCGCTGCGGGTCTGGGGCGGCAGCGTAGCTGTGGCCAGCGCCCCGCTCTCGGGGTGTGCCGCTGTGGGCCTGGGGCCGCAGCGAGCCTGCTGGGTCGGGACAAAGTCTGTCCGGAGGATGTCGCCCTGCGGAGAGGGCAATCAGGAGGCCGGGCATGAGAGCGGCGGGCACAGACGCCGGCCCAAGGGCGCCGGACACTGGGGTGGGTGGGCTGGCGCCCTCATCTACGCCGCTCGGCTGGCGGCGGTGGGCTCCGGACGGGATGGCGGGAGGCGCGGACAACGGCGGCGGCGCAAGCGGAGGGCGCTCACCGCGCGCTCCCAAAAGTAGGCCGTCGAGTCGTTGAGCTGGAACTCGGAGGAGCGTGCGATGGCGGCCTGGACGCCGGGGTCGGCCCACATCGCGTCGAACGCCGCGGGGTACATCGCGTCCATCTCGATGTTCCCGTCCGCCGGCAGCTTGAGAAGCAGGTCGGACGCCATCCGTCCCTCGTCCGTCTGGAAGTCGATGCCGAGCTTCTGCATGCCGGCGGCGACGGCGTGGGTGTTGCCAAAGAGGTTGGCGCGGACCACCGTCACGAACTTGGCCGGCGGATCCGGCACCGAGTACAGAAGCTTCATCTGCTTGAAGACAGTGCTCTTCCCGCTCTCGCCCGTCCCGAGGACCAGCATCTTGGTGACGGCCTGCTCTTCGCGCTGCATCTGTTCCAGTTTGGAGTTGATGTCGCGCGAGGCGTCATCCTCCGCAGTGGCCCCATTCTCGACCTGCTTGGAGGCGCAGAGACCCATCGAGCCGCGAGCCGCGCTCGCTCGCTTGGGCGGCTCGCACCTTGGCCTGGCCAATCGCAAAGTATCACGCTCGGCTTGTCAAGTTTCTTTTGTTCTCGAGGTTCTCGAGGTGGATACTTCACCTTTCTACCTACCTACCTAGGACTGAGAGAGAGAGAGTGAAAAACCGCCAATGGCAGTTATCCGTTAGTGCGGACGTCGGCGCGGCTCGCCTCTGCCGCGGCGGCTGCTGCGCGCACGCGGCGGCGCCGGTCTCTCGCGAGACGGCTGGTGACGCGGCTCGCGGCCGACGTACGCTGCGCTCGTTGGACCGCCCGCGGCGTGGCGTGCGCGGCGCTGAGCGCCGCTCTGCGAGCGCTTGTGCGCTGCTGTCACACTGCACTGTCTCTCTGGTGCTGCTGGTGGTGGTGATGTTGCTGATGCTGGTGCATATGCTGCTGCTGGCGCGGCGCGGCTCTGCGACTCGGCTCGAGACGCGCGTCGGGAGCAGCTGACACGGCGGCGTCGGGCAGGTTGCGCCTCTCTCTGGTGCTGGTGGTGCTGGTGGTGCTGGTGGTGCTGGTGCTGATGCTGCTGCTGATGCGGCGCGGCTCTCCGACTGGACTCGAGGCGCGTGTCGCGGCAATCTGACGCGGCGGGCGGCGTCGCGGGCGGCAGCGATCGCGGCTCGACGGTGGAGGCGGAGGGTGGAGGCTGGTGGACTTTGAGTTTATTTCATGATGGACTACGACATCTGGGGGGTCAACCGGGAGGCAGGGGGTTCAACCAGGCGACGGAGGACCGTGGGCCATCGCGGGGACGGCCCGCCGGAGGCGGGCTCGATTGATCCGGATGGTCTCACCCGGTGGGAGGCACCGAGGCGTCTTGGACGCTCAGCTCTACCTTAAGCTCCTGAGGGGCGCGTGGTTCTAACCACGTAGTATGACTATAGCCCACCACAGACACCCTCCCTGCTCTACACACGTGTGCACACTCCCTCACCCTCTCCTCTCTCCTCTCTCTCTCTCTCCTCTCTCCTCTCCTTGTCTGCTGTCTGCCTGACTCAGGCGCAATCTGCCGATGCGAGATTGTGTGTGGGCTGCTCCTAGGGGGCCCTGTGCGATCCGACGGGTAGGGGGGCTGTGCCCGGGCGGTGTCCGGTGTGGAGTCCCCTTCTGATCCCGCCTGTGGTGTTGGGTGTGAGGTCGTGGAAGCTTCGATCCCAAGGGGGGGAGCCGAGCCCACTCATAACCAACTCTCAGGGGCAGTAGGTGGGCGAGCCTCGAGCGCGCTCATCTCGATCGTCAAGGCGTCGCTACGCGCGGTCTTCCGCGGGGGGAGCTTCGTCGACGGGTGCGGGAGCGCGGCGCAGCCAGTGCCGTGGCGATGCCTCCGGCTGTTTGTGGCGGGCGGCTTGCTGCTCGCTGCATGGCGAAAAACTCGTCTCGCCACACGCCAAGGGCTTATGCTCTGGCGAGACGTGAGGCGCATGCGCCCAGGATGGGAGGGGGCATGCGTAACGACACTGCTAGAGATGCCTTTCGGGGCCCAGAGATAAAACTTCTGTGATGCCATGCGTGACCTAGTAGTGTCCCCAGCTATGGGCGTGTCCACGTTGGAGCCAGGTGTGGTGTGGGCGCGAGAATAGCTCCGCCGTTCATGGAGGCAACCGATGCGAGTCGACTGGTGTGTGTCGTCGTGGTTTCGTATCAAGAATTCTCTCTCTCTCCCTACCTAGGACTCTAAGTTTCTGTCAGGACTCTCAAGTTTCTGTCAGGACTCTCAAGTTTGCTTGTCAGGACTCTCAAGTTTACGTCAGGACTGCCCCATCAGGACGATTCCGCAGAGGGCGGCACGGGTCGAAAGGGGGGCTGGGCGTCTATCATTCACTGCTGGGGGGGAGGGGAGGGTTGCAGTGAAGGAAGCTGGAAGGTGGAAGTCTCGTCAAAGGCACTTGTGAGTACTGTGAAGACTGTGCGTCGTCAGGACTCCGCCAGGACTCTGTCAGGACTCTGTCAGGACTCTGTCAGGACTCTGTCAGGACTCTGTCAGGACTCTATCAGGACTGTCAGGACAGGTGCGGGAGGTCCACAAACCAGGTTTCGCGCGGTACGCGCCGGGCCGTCAGCGCCTTTCGAAAACAGCGTATCACTATGCAACTACTAGGGTTAAAGTCAAAGTCAAAGTTAATGTTCCCCTTTTCATTTACTAGCTCTCGAGATCGCATCGCACGCTAAACGCACCTGGCATGTGTTCGTGAGCATGAGGCATGCCGTTTGTTTACCGCCACAGTGGACCGCAAACGGCCGTCGCTTTCGTTGGGTGCTACACAGTTTCTGACAAGTCAGCTCAGGGCCTGCAAAGACGCTGTCGGCACCGAAGAGAATGCTCAGGTCGCGTGATGTCACCACGCTCCCACCATCTGCACGCAGCGTGGTATTTAGTGGTCCAAACTGTTGCCGCAACCCTTTCCTCACCCGCTCCTCGCGCCGCGCGGTCAATCGGTCAACGTCGTCACGCGAGTGCCACGGCACGCTGGGTGAGGCCGGATGTGACGCAGCCCACCGCGAGCCGTGACGCTCAATGAGCCGCTCGGTTGCCTCCGCGTAGCCGTACTTGCCGAAAAGCACCTTGGCCCGCCAGCGCGTGCGCACAGCTAGAGGAAAGCGGTATACGGTCGAAAGCAGCACGTCGTGGAGCAGGTCCTGCTCCGCAGGACCGACCAAGTCGCCCACCGCTTCCTTTATCAAGGGATCGGTGAACGCGTGTATCGCCGCGCGCACACGCCCCACAAAAGCGAGCGCGCGCCGAGTCGGCAAGAAGGCGAAGATGTCGGGCGTGAACTTTGGGATGCTGTGCTGATCTGCGGGGCTGTCAAAGCAAACGTCGGCACCAACGGCGCGAACGGCTCTGAAGAGCGCGCGCGTTGGCCGCAGAAGCCTCGCGTCGGCGCCAGCAAACATAATGCGGCGACCTCGCGAGAGGAAGTGCGCAATCACGACCCACTTCTCTTGCGACATCATCACGTCGGCCGACCATTCGGACCCGCACTGTCCAGCCGGGGCGCGCTGCCCCTCGCAGCCACGGCGTGTCTCCACGTTACTGACGGCACAGGCGATTCCCAAGCGGGCGGCAGCATCGCAGTCTGCAACGCGCTTAGTCACCAAGAAGGCGCTGCTTCCCAGGATCCGAGCTACCTCGAAGAACTCCTGGTACAGTCCCGGAAATTGAGTGCGCATGAATAGCGGCGTTGCAACCGTGAAGAGGTCGAACGGCGCTTGTCCAGGCTCCTCCCCGATGAGCCTGGACAAGCTGTAGTTATGCGGCGGGCACGAGTACACGCTCGACCAGCAGGACGAGGATGTTGCCTCGTACATATGTACACACGTAGCGGTAGCGTGACGTCGCACGGCGACGCGCCGTCGCACAATGCTCCACAAAGCTGCAAGCGATCCGCCGCGCCGAGCACGGGCGCCGAGAAGAGCGATCGGCAGGACCAAGCCGGAACCCCGGACAAAGGCAGGTTTGAAGGAGTTTTGTCGAGTTTTATATTAAATGAACTCGGGGGCATTGTCGAGTTTTGTCGAGTTTTGTCGAGTTACGTACAGAGGAATGACCGTTACGCAAAAGCATGCGCGACTTGCACTCTTTCGTGACACTCGCTCGCCGGTGCGCGGGGCATGGCCTCCCGCGCGGCTCGCGCTCACTCGGCCTGCCTCCGCCTCACTCACGGCTGGCTGAGCACGCCATGGGTCCGCCTGGTGCGGCGCTGCTCGCTCGCTGCGCTGCACAAAGCTGCGAGAAGCAGGGTGACCTCCTGAGCTTGAGCATTGCGCAGCGCGGCTGCTGGTGCTCGAGGGCGGCCGTGTGGTGGCGTGAGGGCCTGATTGGTGGTGACCTCGTGCTGATCAGACCGAAGCTGAGTACTGACCTGTTCCGACCGTCATCACTTTGAACATGGTCGGATCAGGGTCGGAGGATCAGGGTCGGAACAGGGTGGATGCCCCGCGCGCCTGACCCAGGCGCGAAAACGAATCTGCGAGGCGCGGCCGCTTATGCGGCCCGATGGGGAGGAGCGGGGCAGACTACGGGGATCGGCTTCTTACACAGCCCTTCCCTGCAGAACCTCGAGAACGTGGTCTCTCACACCAATCCTCGCTACCCAACGCGGCCAAAGGATATCCACTGATTTCGGTCGAGCGAATTCTTTTCTGTCGTGTGTGCGCCTTTCGTTGCAAAATTCTGGCAACTCGCCCGCCCGTCGATGGCCCAAGCCGAGGAGCACACCAGCCTCCTCTCGCTCCCCGACGAGATCCTCCTCCACGCCGCCCGCCTCTGCCTCTCCGCGAGCCTGCCCGCCGCTGTCCGGCTCGCCACGCAGACCTGCCACACCCTCCGCCGAGCGCTGCAGCCGCTCCCGGCCGAGGCAGAGCGGCGGCGGCTGCGCTGGCAGCCCTCGCTCACGCTGCGGCACGCCATCAGCTCCGACGGTCGGCTGCTCACCAAGACGCACGCCAACGGCCAAGACTGCGCGTGCGCCGCCGGCCCGCTGCTGCCGACGGCGGGGAGGTCGGCGTGGCGGTTGCGGGTGGAGGAGGCGGACGGCGAGGCCGCGATCCTTGTCGGCGTGTGCGACGCGGCGGGGCGAAGTGAGTGGGGACTCAACCTGCGACGTGGCGACCTCGTCCATCTGAATCGGAACCACAAGGGTCAGATCGTCTCCGTGGGCAAGTCCGCCGTGCTGATGACGTTCCAGCAAAGGGTCGCGCATCTGGCAAACTTGGACCGCGTGAAAGTGGTCGAGGTGATCGTCGACCACGACGCGAGCACGCTCACCTTCTCCATCGACGGCGCGCCGCCTCTCCTCCCCGCGCCGATCTCGCCATGCGCCGCCGATGCCACCGTGCTGGAGCGAGACGGTGAGGGCTGCTTTTTGCGGCGGGGCCACACACCCTCCTCTTAAGTTCAATCCCATCCCCTGTAGGCCGGCGAGGAGGGGGCGACGTCGACGCGGTCGCCCCGCGCGCCAGCCTGAGCGGCGGCGCGGCGCTGCGACCGTACGCGTCGCTCAGCGTCGCCGCGGGCAAGCAAAGCCAGCGGCCTGATCGGGTGAGCTTCTGCGACGGGTATCTGTACGCACCGTGAGCGTGGCCTCTCTTGCAACGTTTGCTCCTCAACGTCGCTCGTCGGCTGACTGAGGTCCGATTGGCTGCCACAGCTCTCCTGTTGTCCTGATCGCCCTGCGAGCTGCGTCCTCTCGTCTTGTGCGCGCTCCCTCTCTGTCTCTCGAAAATAGCGAAGTATTATAGCTGCGCGCCCCGCCGTGCTCCGAGTACCGAGAAAAAAACCACACTGGAAGAGCGAAGACGAAGAGGAAGACGCGCTAGATGAAGAGTGCGGACACTGACTCACAGTCCTCAGAGTGTCAGAGTGCTCTGTGCTCAGAGTATCAGAGAGTTTCAGACACCCTCAGACGTCGGGGGCCTTCGCGGGTGCGGCGGCGATAGAACTGCGCGCACACATATGGAGCACATGCACATCACGTATATATCATGGATTGTGGCCCCCTGACATGATAGCCCCCCAACATGCTCGGCCCTCGTCCGCTCCCCTCCTCCATGCATGCCACGGTCTCCGGTTCGGTCCGCATAACCACGTGCTGGCCCACACGCTGCGAGCCCCCTCCCCGCCCGGCGGCGACGCTGAGTCGCCAACAGCTCGTGGGCCGCGCCTCGGCCTCACGGCGACGTGGCCCCCGTGGCCTTCGCCGCGGCGATCGCCGCAGCCTTTGCCTTGAGCTCCGCGATGCGCGCCGTCTCGGCCTCCTTGAGTCGCGCCTGAGGGAGGCAATCTCGGGCAATCTCGGGTAATCTCGGGTGATCTGCGCCCCGTCTCGGCCTCCTTGAGTCGCGCCTGCTCGGCCGCCCGCGCCTCGCTCGTCGCCCGGCTCTTAGCCGCCGCCTGCGGAGGTACGCATTGGACGCGTCATGGACATGTCTGCAGACACGGCGGGCTGCGGGACCGCCGCCACCTCGGCCGCCGCCGCCTCGCTCTTCGCCGCCGCCGCCTGCTTGGCCGCCGCCGCCGCCGCACGCTGCTCCTCGCGCACCGCCGCCGCCTGCGCTGGATCAGCCGCCGCCGCCGCCGCCGCCTTCGACGCCTGTGCCGCCGCCGCCTGCTCCGCCGACCTGCGCGTTGCGGCGTCGAGCTTAGCAGGGAGAAGGGAGAGGAGAGAGGAGAGAAGAGAGAAGAGAGGAGGGAGAAGGGAGAAGGGAGAAGAGGTCTAGCATTCTGATGACAGAGAGCAGAGATCCGTGTCCGCGTATTGCGCCCCCGCTGCTCCCCCCGCCGCCCCGTGCTCCGATGCTGAATGAAGCAGGAGAGGGGTACTACTGCTGCCGGTACTACTGCTGCCCCGAACCTGCGCTTCGCTGCGTCGAGCTTCGCGGCCGCCTCGATCCTCTTGCCTGCAGCCTGGAAAGCTGCCTTCTCCTGCGGGGCTTCTCAGCACGGATGAGCAACAGGCCGAGATCTCGCCGAGATCTGGACGCCGGCCGCTTCCTGCGGGCTCGCGTTGGCGCCGACCTGTTCACAGCAGAGAGGTGGGAAGAGACGCCGTTCACAGAGCGGGGCCGGGCGTGGGGTGTGACTCCAGGGGGGACAATCTCGTCCAATCTCGTCCAATCTCGTCCAATCTCGTCCTATCTCGTCCGATCTCGTCCGATCTCGTCCGATCTCGTCCAATCTCGTCCGATCTCGGTCGACCTTCTTCGCGTCGTCGACCAGCGGCAGCACCGCCCCGAGCGAGAACTTCGACTTGAGCATCGGCACCGCCACCTGAAGAAGAGAAAGAAAAGCCCTCGTTTTCTTTTTTTAGTTGGACTTGAGCATCGGCGCCGCCACCTGAAGAAGCAAGAGAAAGGCCGTCGCCGCGTTTTCTTTTTTTGGTTGGGCTTGAGCATCGGCGCCGCCACCTTTGCCAGCGCGGCCTGCTCCGTGGCGCCAAAAGACCGCGCGACCTGCAGTGTGCATGCGCCAATGGCAGGGTGTGGGTGCGATGACACAGTGTGAATGCGCCGAGGCGAGGAGTGTACGGCTGGTGCCGAAGAGTGCATGTCCTCTCGAGTGCCAGAGACCAGCTTTCCCGCATCTTAGGGGCGCGCAACATCGCCTCCGCCTGCGGCCATGTGTTGGCCGTGCAGTGCCCATGCATGGCCACACATGGCCTTCGCGTTTGTGCATTGTGTGTGCAAGTGTATGCACGCGTACATGCATGTGTGTGTGTGTGTGTGTGTGTGTGTGTGTGTGTGTGTGTGTGTGTGTGTGTGTGTGCGGATGTACTTGAGCGCACCTCCGCCTGCGCCAGCGCGAGCTTGTCGAGAGCTGCTACGGGCGGCAGGCAGATCGCGGCGTCCGTCTTAGGAAGCGCGTCGAGGGTTGGGCCCCACGTCGAGCCGAATGCCTTGAGCTTGTCGGCCGAGACCGTCTCCGCCGCCACGCCCTGCACCTTCTCCGCCACCGCCTTTGACGGCAGCGGCACGAGCGTGCACGAGTCGACGTTGAGGCCGCCGAAGGCGTCTCCGACAGCGCCGTTCAGCGCCTTGAGCTTGTCGGGCGAGACGGAGTCGAAGACGTCGATCGCGGCGTCGATCGATGCGCCGAGCTTGGCCGACGGCAGGCTGAGCAGCAGCCCGCCAATCTTTTCTGTGAACGGCACGAAAGTTTTCGCGTCGAGCCCCCGAATGATTGGATACGAAGCCTCGCTCACCTCGACGATGGCCTCGTCTAGGGTCTGCGCTGCCGACGATGCCAGCGGCGCGCCTATAGGAGGCCGCCATCGCGCTCCGCAGCCGCGAGGCCGGCGCGAGGGCCGGTTGAGCAGCAATCACCGAGCAGCGATGCGCTCAGGCAGGCAGTGCCGACGCAGCGTGCGAGCGTGTCGGTGAACGCTGGCGGCTGTACGCGCAGCGCCAGCGCCGTAGACGCTGACAGGATGGCGGCTAGGAGGGAGGCGCGAGGCAGCATATATGTGTGTGTCTATATACAATCGGGGGTGTGTGTGTATCGTGTGTATCGGTGAATGGGCACCATGAAAAAGAAATCGACAGAATTTCACAATTCAAGACGGCCGCACACACACGACAAACAAGGCGCGGGCGACGGCTTCCACTCTACACCCCAACATCCCCACCCTCGCTCCGCCCCGCCCCGCCATCTCCACCTGACAACCAATCGCGAAGACGCACCTCGAGAGACGCACGACTCGGCCCTCCCGACCCCCTGCACCATATGAGAAGAGTTTTACAATGACGAATGAGCTCTCTCGCACACGCAAGATCACACAACAGACAAGGCACACCAGTGTACAACCATGGAGTGTGTGAATGCGACAAGGGACCGTCCGTTTGTGCGTATCACGTATCACTCCCGTGTGCATTCCCCCGCTGCCCTCGTGTGCATTCCCCCTCTCCCCTCAGAGTGGCGGTGGAGATGGAGGGGGGGCACTGCCTGGAGGGAACGCGTGGCACACACAGCTGAAATGATTATAGGCACGGTTGCTCAGACCATAACACTCGGAGGGGAAGTCCTGGTCGTCAGGGATCGCCCCGGTGGCATCATCGTGGGGCTGAACACAGTGCATCCTTCCACATTTGACGCCGTCGATGGCGGTTTCCGCATTGCCTTGGTAAGCAAACCGCGCGTCATCCGTGTAGACTGTGTCGTAGGGATCGGCGTCGTGGTCGGCTTCTTCCGGGTTGAATGTCTGAACGAGGAGGCACTTGAGGGGGTAGGTGCTAGTCAGAGTGGCATCGCCATCATCATCATCATATCCGATCAACTGATGGGTCGGAAGATATTTCCAACTCACATCACTTGCCAGAGCAGCGTTGGCCTCTCGACACTCAGACTCGCTGAGGCTTGTAGTACCAGCGTCTTCACAGCTCGAGTGCACACCATCGTTGAGGATGACAAAGTCATCGGCGGTCAAGGGCGGCGGCGAGGGTGGCGGTGGCGCCGGTGAGGGTGACAGCGGCGGTGAGGGTGGCAGCGGCGGTGGGCTTGGCGGTGGCGGTGACGGCGGTGGCGATGGCGGCGGCGGCGAGGGTGGTGGCGACGGAGATGGGAACGCGTGGCACACACAGCTGAAATGATTATAGGCACGGTTGCTCAGACCATAACACTCGGAGGGGAAGTCCTGGTCGTCAGGGATCGCCCCGGTGGCATCATCGTGGGGCTGAACACAGTGCATCCTTCCACATTTGACGCCGTCGATGGCGGTTTCCGCATTGCCTTGGTAAGCAAACCGCGCGTCATCCGTGTAGACTGTGTCGTAGGGATCGGCGTCGTGGTCGGCTTCTTCCGGGTTGAATGTCTGAACGAGGAGGCACTTGAGGGGGTAGGTGCTAGTCAGAGTGGCATCGCCATCATCATCATCATATCCGATCAACTGATGGGTCGGAAGATATTTCCAACTCACATCACTTGCCAGAGCAGCGTTGGCCTCTCGACACTCAGACTCGCTGAGGCTTGTAGTACCAGCGTCTTCACAGCTCGAGTGCACACCATCGTTGAGGATGACAAAGTCATCGGCGGTCAAGGGCGGCGGCGAGGGTGGCGGTGGCGCCGGTGAGGGTGACAGCGGCGGTGAGGGTGGCAGCGGCGGTGGGCTTGGCGGTGGCGGTGACGGCGGTGGCGATGGCGGCGGCGGCGAGGGTGGTGGCGACGGAGATGGGAACGCGTGGCACACACAGCTGAAATGATTATAGGCACGGTTGCTCAGACCATAACACTCGGAGGGGAAGTCCTGGTCGTCAGGGATCGCCCCGGTGGCATCATCGTGGGGCTGAACACAGTGCATCCTTCCACATTTGACGCCGTCGATGGCGGTTTCCGCATTGCCTTGGTAAGCAAACCGCGCGTCATCCGTGTAGACTGTGTCGTAGGGATCGGCGTCGTGGTCGGCTTCTTCCGGGTTGAATGTCTGAACGAGGAGGCACTTGAGGGGGTAGGTGCTAGTCAGAGTGGCATCGCCATCATCATCATCATATCCGATCAACTGATGGGTCGGAAGATATTTCCAACTCACATCACTTGCCAGAGCAGCGTTGGCCTCTCGACACTCAGACTCGCTGAGGCTTGTAGTACCAGCGTCTTCACAGCTCGAGTGCACACCATCGTTGAGGATGACAAAGTCATCGGCGGTCAAGGGTCGCGACGGGGGCGGTGGCGGTGTCGGCGGTGGCGACGGGGGCGGTGGTGACGGG